GAGTGAATGAATTAATCTCCCAGCTGAAAAGCATCCAGGCACAGTTATGAAGAATAAAGTGTGTTGGTGACTGAAGTGACAGTGTGGTTAAGAGTGCTTACTGCTCTTCCGAAAAATTCGATTCAGTTTCCAGCATCCTTACTGGACAGCTTACAGCCATCAGTCTTTGAGCCCCAGTGGAATCCGGTGCTCCTGACATCTATAGGGACCTCAAGCATGTTCATTTCACCTAGACACGGATGCAAGTGTAAAAATAATAAAAAAATATTAAAAAGAACAACATATATTTGTAACTATACAATAAAAGTTTATTGTCTAAATTTTAAAATAAAAAACAAGTATTTGGTAATAGGTCCTCTTGCATGCTAAGCAAGTATTCAGTGTGTGTGTGTGTGTGAGAGAGAGAGAGAGAGAGAGAGAGAGAGAGAGAGAGAGAGAGAGAGAAAGGGAGGGAGAGAAAGGGAGGGAGAGAAAGGGAGGGAGAGAGAGAGGGTATGTGCATGCCAGGGTGTATTTGTGAAGGTCAGACAATTTCTGGAAGTCATTTCTCCCCTTTACACAGTGTCATTTCCAGAACTTAAACTCAGGTCCTCAGGCTTGATTGGCAGCAGGTCCCCTTACCCATTGAGCCATCTTATTGGCCCTCCTCAATCTACTTTTCATTTTTATTTTAGGACAAGGGCTTGCTAAGTTCTTCAGGCTGATTGTGAATTTGTAGTCCTCCTGCTTTAACCTTCTAAGTAGCTGAGGTTCTAGACCTGTGCTACCAGCCCCAGCTGTCAGTTTTGGTGATGGGCAACAGGGCTGATGAGATGGGTTATTCTGACTCTGAGCTGCTGGGCTGTCAAGAGTGGAATGGCTCAGAGAGGCAGAGTGGAGCAATGAACCAGTCCCAATTCCGGATCCACTGAAATCCCTTGACATAGAGAAGGAGGAAGGGATGAAACAGTGTGAGCGGAGGCAGACTCCAGTGTAACTTTAAGGATATTGGAAGGCATAGAGAAAAGCAGACATTGACATACATTGGCAGTGAAATGTTCTCCAGGCATGCCATTATTTCTCTGGAACTGGGCAAGTTGGGGGTAGGTGTGGTTCTTGCCTGGATTTGTGACTGTTTTTGTCAGGGCGAGGTTGTTAGTTAGACGCACCATGAATTACCAGAAGTTAACACTTCCTGTATTTGTTCCATGTTTCTCTAATCTTACGTTGACATTATCAAGAAGCTGCTCCGAAGTTTGAAGAGCCAAGTGTTTAGATTGTTACAGGAGGATGTGGCCACCAGACAGACATGCAGTGTTATGTGTTAATAAAAGTTTAATTGCAAGTGAAAACTTCCCACCCAAAGTTTGCAGAAATTATAGCAAATCACACTGGCTTCAGGTTTCTAAAGAGAAGTATGGAGATTTGTCACAATGGCTCCTAATGCCCATGCTGTAAAAACACACGAAAGCACTTAGTGTTACAGTAGCGATTTGGCTCTGCAGTGTTGATTAATTTCTGGAGTATTATCTCACTTCCTTATTCTGTGGAAGTTCCTGCTTTGCTCTGAACTACCTTAGTTAATTAGGATACACTTCATGTTACAGCTTTAAAAAAAACTATGCTGCTTTTATGTAAAAATCAGGCTTTTGTCTCACATGTCAGGTGTAGACATCTGAGCACCATGCTGAAAAGTTGCGGTTAGCTAGTTGATTTCCAGTGGTTTACTTCTCTGTGAGTAGGCGCCTCAGAGGACGGGAACCCAAGGGCAGATCTGATATAGCAAAAACATTCCTCCTATCGTATACATAAAACTGGTAAGACTGCCTTTCTGGTGGGGCATGCGTAATAACAGCATCCACTAGAGACAAAGACATGGAAGCTATGGTCTTTTCATTAAGTGGCATTCCAAGCCAGGCTATTGGGGTGTAGGCTTATTATCTCAGCTACACAGGGGGCTGAGGCAAAATGATAGCGAGGTCAAGCTTGGCCTGGGCTACAGATGAGTTCAGAGCCAGCCTGGGCAACCTTTTAGACCCTGTCTCAAAATGAAATCTCCAAAAAAGATAGGGATACAGCTCAGAAGTAGAATGCTTACATGTCCTCAGGTTAACCCCCCCCCCATTGGAAAATAACTGAATGAATACATGCATGTTTTTACTCTGTTTATTTTCATTGCTTTGTTTCAGGTGAATTGTTAAAGGGATCTAATGGATTTTAAGTCATTTGTTTGGAATTCAGTGTATTTTCTGTAAATGTAAGAGTAAGATGATGTCAGATATCTTGGATTGTATAAGGCCCAATGCACAGTGAACAAATGGACTGTTGAGAATAGATTGTTCCAATATTGGTCATTAGAATGACCATGCTAGTAGATGATGACTTAGAATTTTAGATTCATAAAAATTGAGCCTAATTTCAGTGTCCTTAAGGGAAAACGATTAACTTCTGATTACTCTAGTATTTTAGAAAAATGATTTAGTACTCAAGTTATAAACTTAGGGTGTAGCTTAGGAAAGAAACCACCTTGAATAATCTTCCAAAAGGACAGGGGGGTCTTAAGCAGGATTTTACAGTAGGATTGAATTTGGTATGTATGTGCCTATCGGGTCACTTACACCCTCAGCTCTTGGAGAAGGGGTCCAGGTCTTTATCATGTCTGTATTCTAGCCTAGGGCAGTATCACCGTGTATCCCCCCGCCACTCCCCCCTACAACCCCCCCCGCATAAAATCTGTAAATGCCCAAATCGGAGTTCCTTTGGGAATTTTGTCAATGTAGATGACAAGGACACATGACAGATTCCCTAAGGAAGAAACCTAGGTCATCACGCCAACAGTAGAAATGTAAATGATGACCTTGATAAATCAAGATGAAAATCAAGGACCATGGACTTTCTATGTCATATTCAATGACATGCTCATTACCTACTCTGAATTTGGGAACATTTTCCAAGTACCAGGTTCTCTAAATACATAGGCAAATGAGGTACAGTAACAATGAACCCTTGATTCAGAAAGATATGATTTGAATTAGCTGTGTTTACTTGTGTTGTAGGATTGATGGGATTTTAAAATTATATTTATGTTATTTTTATGTGTGTACATGTGTGTATGCATAAATGTATTCTGTATGTATACATATATGCGTGTATCCACAGAGACCAGAAGATGGCATCGGGTCCCCAGGAACAGGAGTTACAGGAGGTTGTGAGCAACCTGACATGGTGCTAGGAACGGAAGTCTGCCTCTCTGAAAGATCAGCAAATGCTTTCAACTGCTGAGCCATCTCTTCAGCCCTAGTTGATTTAATTGATGTGGGATAATGCTCTTGAACACTGTAAAGATTTGTCACTCATATTGGTTTAATAAAATGCTGATTGGCCAGTAACCAGGTAGGAAATATGGGTGGGGCTACCAGACTAGAAGACTTTTGGGAAGAGGAAGGCAGAAAGGGAGGTGCCAGTTAGACCCAGAGGAAGTAAGATAAGAATACCTTATTGAGAAAAGGTACCAAGCCATGCAGCTAAACATAGATAAGAATTATGGATTAATTTAAGTAGATAAGAATTATGAATTAATTTAATCTGTAAGAGTTTGTTAGTAATAAGCCTGATGAAAAGGCCAAACAGTTTATAATTAATATAAGCCAATGTATGATTATTTGGGACTGAACTGCTGCAGGATGGGATGGGATGGAAACTCCGTCTACATTTAATATTAAGATAACACACGTATAGAGTTTTGCAATGTGTTTGGAATATAATGAACTCTAATAAATGCTAGGCTTTCCTTCTTCAGGAAATTTTTGGGAAAATGAAGAATAATTAAAAGTAAAGAAAATGAGGATGGGTTTATGCATCAGTTAGAGTTTGGCAGAGAATCTTGGTTGACTCAGTTTGGTAGGTGGCTGTTTTCAGTTCAGTTCATCTGGGGACACTCCTGCTCCTCTTCGTTCTAGGCTGTCATCTGAATGCACTAACTTTTGGTAGTCAGCTGACAGCCAGTGGCCTCAGCCACACATGTGCAGTAGCATTGGTTTGAAAGTGGGTCACGTGGTGTGGAAAAGGTTCTAGAAAGAGTGAGAATGAGCAGCGTGCTAAAGAATACTTGAGACTTCTGCTGTGTCTTGTTTCCTACTGTTCCTTTAGCCAGACTGAGGCACGTGGTCACGGTAGAGAAAGCTCTTCATCAGGCAAAGAAAGAGTCCCCTCTTGATGAATAGGACTGGGAAGGACTTGTAGTCGCCATGTTTGTGACCCACACAGACTTCTTATTGTCTTCTAAGCCTAGGCTGGATTATTTGCATGCTACTCATTTATGCTTCATGGCAACTTCCTGACATGTACACACAGCCCTATTTCAAAAAGGAGAAAGCTGTTGACCAGAGCAGCAAAGAGACTTGCATACATTAAAGTCAAGGTTGTTGCTCCAAGTTATGGAAAAGCCTTGGAGGTACTATCTTTTCATGAGGGGGAAGGTGCGTGTTTTAATAATAATTTGGTTTAAAAGGAGTTACCTGTGGAAACGCTAGGCCATGTATTTGTCTGGTATAGAAACCTGTGCTGCCCTTTTTCTCCAGATTGATGGCTGTGAGGAAAGCATGGGACTGACCCAGACCCCCTGAATGTGGGTGTCAGTGAGGAGGCCTAGGTAATCTATGGGGCCTTGGGTAGTATTTATCCCTGGCATACAAATAGACAATGAGTGCCCATGCCACAATATTGGAGGCTCTCTCAGCTGGGACTCTTGGGGAAGGACCTAGGCCCTGCCCTGGATGAAATGACAGTTACTGGAGATCCACCATGGAGTGCCTTATCCTCCTTGGGGATCGGACTGGAGATTGGGTGGGAGGCTGGGGGACGACCTGGTGGGGAAGAAGGGGCAAGGGAAGAGGGAAAGGGAGCTGGGATTGACGTGAAACAAGATTGTTTCTAGCCTAAATAAAAAAAGAAAGAAAGAAACCTGTGCTGTCTTTCGCAAGTTTGCAGAGGCTTACCGGAAGTGTGCTTTTGTTTGCTAGATTGCCTGCACCACCCGGGTCTCCCTGCGTCCTGGACATGACTGAGCTTCTTCAGTGGGCCAGACATCACTGGCATCGGCTGATGAATGGGAGAACCCAGGATGAAGATGAGAGGCCGTACAACTATTCCTCGCTGCTTGTCTGTGGGGGCAAGTCCTCCCAGACCCCCAAACCTGCAGGAAAGCACCGCATTGTCATACCTCACCTTCAGTGCTTCAAAGATGACTATGAAAGGTTTTCCGGAACCTACATGAATAACCGAATACGGACAACCAAGTATACACTTCTCAATTTTGTGCCAAGAAACTTATTTGAGCAGTTTCACAGGTACTGTGGTACTTCTAGAGAAAGTAACATCTCAGAACGTTCTTCATTCTTCTATTGAAACTCACATCGAACCACGCATTTCATGGTCCTGTGTGCTGCTCAGGATTAACATATAATCATCCAAGGCAATTTAGATTCAAGTCCGGGCTGGGGTGCCTGGGGTTCACACAGTTCTTTACAGTTGGGAGGATGTCTTCTGTTTGTCAGAGAAGATGTGGTTACCCTTGTGTTATCTTCAGATAGGAAATCATCTGTGGCTCAGCCAAGGCTACACCAGTAATAAGTAACAGAGTGGATGCCATAGCCTTGGGCTGCCTCCATTTGGCTTCAGTGTCCTTTCTATTAAACCATATTGCATTTTAATTTCAGATTTCTCTTCCTTGACAATGGGGAAAAGAAAGGGACTCTTAAGCATATGTAATAATGTTATTAAGTGAAGTAGTGATGTAATTCAGTTTAACAGGCATTTATTGAAGCTTCCTTGAGATCTTGGGCAGTGAAGACAATGCAGGTATAACTTGCTACTTTCCTCATGGATTCTGTAGGTTATCCACTTGTGTGTATAAACAGCGAGAGGGCACAGTGGGTTTACAATTGTTATGAAGTTATTATAAATCAGAGTGGAAGCCACAAGAGAAACCATACTATTATATGGAACAGTAGAAGGGGATATGACCCTCAATTTAATTATGGAGGGTGGAGTGTCTTGTGCCCAGGAACGGGCAAAGCATAGTTCACGTAGAGGAAGGAGTGTCGGTGAGAGCACAAAGACCTCAGCCTAGACGCCTTGCTTGAAGCCTGGGAGGTTTCCTCTCTGTTGATGCCTAGTGTCTGTGTTGGGGACAATAGGAAATAATGGGCAGATGGGTCTATCCTGCCTGAGAAGTATTGCTGTTAGAATAGAGAACTGAAACTCCATACAGCAGGCATGGCTCTGAAGAAGAGAAAAACGTGCTTGTGTCTGTATGGAGGCAAAGTGGGGTGGGAGGAAGGACTTAGAAATAAACCCAAGGAAAAATGACGTTTCAGATGCTGCTGCATATACCCTGCTGAGTTGTTAGGGAGATCCAGGATTATAACAGCGTGGGAATGAAGGGAGGACAGCCTGTTACACGTGTTGTAAGCTAGCTTTGAGAAAACCTTTAGATGGACGTGTTATGATGACTAGAAAACGTACCAGGAAAGGGAAAGCCAGGACCGAAAAGGAGCTGGGCTGTTCAGTTTCTTGTTTTAGAAATGCTGGAACTGCTTTTGTGAGTCTGGAGATTCTCATCTGGAGATTCATAGGTTCTGTGTACAGTTACTGAACAGTGGTTATGTCTGAAGTGCAGATGTGAGTTTGTGAGGTTAATAACCTTAAGGGCTACAGGTGTTTACATCTGTAGACTGTAATCTAGTGCATTTGAGGAATAAATTAACTTCAAAACGTACAGTGTTCTCTTGAGCTGTGGACTTTGGTGTGGTCCATATAGAAATAATCGAAGCCATTGATCCAACAAAAACAGTTAAGAAAGAAAAATTCAGAACAGAATAAATTGGAGATGATGAGGGAGACATTTGAATAGATTGTGCTTTTAAGGAGTTTCCCAGTAGAAGGCAAAAGGAAAAATTCCTGATAACTATGTAGGACTGAGGTTTCCTGTTTGTTCTTTATTATTTGAATATATAAAAGAGCAAAGTTTTGGGGATGGAAGACTTCCCTCAATACTGTGGTTCTGAATAGTGTGAAAAGAAACAGAGTCCCAGGGAGAGAAAATTCCAGGCGTCCCTGCTCATTCTGAGCCTTTAGATTTTGAGCCGTGTTTGACTATAATGTGTTGATTCAGAATGCTTGGGTTTTTCTTTTTTACTTTTTTTTAAAATAAATTTTTATTTAAATTAAAAACAATCTTATTTTACATACCAATCCTGGTTCCCTCTCCCTGGCATCCTCCCATGTCCCCCACCAACTTCCCATCCTACCCTCTCCCATCCACTCCCCAGGGAGGGCAAGGCCTCCCATGAGGGATCATCAAAGTCAAACTTTTAAAGAGAAAGCAGTACTTCCCTCTTCCAACACGTGCTGCATAACTTGAGACTACCCCATTCAAATGTTCACTATTCCATATTTAATGAAAAATCTAAGTCATATGTCCTGGATATATATAAATACATTCATATTTGTTAGATTTTGCTAATTCCCTTGTCCAGTGACCTATCTAATACCGACTTAAGGAAAGGAACGGAAACTGCATCTGGCCTCTTCTATTTCAGCTCTTGGAGCATTCTATGCAAACCTCCTGTGTGTGCTTGGCTTGCAGGGCTGCCAATTTATACTTCCTGTTTCTTGTGGTCCTGAACTGGGTGCCTTTGGTAGAAGCCTTCCAAAAGGAAATCACGATGCTGCCACTGGTGGTGGTGCTAACAATTATTGCAATTAAAGACGGCTTGGAAGACTACCGAAAATACAAAATCGACAAGCAGGTCAACAATTTAATAACCAAAGTTTACAGTAGGTAAGTGGGATGGGTGTATCCCCAAGGAATATACTATAGCATTTATAAGCCTGTTAGTCTTTCTACGCTTACATATGATCAGGACTGTTTTTGTGGTGCTATTGTTATTGTTTTGTGTTTTTCTTTTTTCTTTTTCCCTCTCCTGCTACCAGGGATCGAATTTAAGACTTCATAATCTTTTACATACTAGCCAAGTATTCTGCCACTGAGCTACAGCCCCAGCTGTTATTACGGATTTTGATCAACACTTCTGGCAATCCTTCAGTGAATTTAATTGAAATATTAGAGGGGAAACAAGAGCCACTGTCAGTCAAGCACTTGGTAGAGAAACAACTTCTGGCTCAGTCATTGGGGAACTGAAAGGATCTGTACTGCTTTGAGATCTGGGTGTGGTGGCATGCCCCTGTAATCTCAGCACTTGGGACTAAGGCAAGATAGTTGCCAGCCTGGATATGAGAACCACAGTGAGGACTCAAGAGAAAGAAAAACTTGAATAGACACAAAAAGTTGGATGAAATATGAGAAGTCAGTTATCTGTGGAGGAAAGGGTTATGAAAACAGAATAGAATTCTTTTGGTGCATAAAACTCCAGACATTGCAGCCACACCCAAGGCCTCCTACTGCAGCCATACCCAAAGCCTCCATCAGAGAGGGTTCATTCAGGTGAATTCAGTTATTGCATAACTTCTTTTGCAGTATGTAAAGAGGAAGTCCTTGTGTTCAAGAGAGAACTCAGGTTTTGAACCATGATGCTCCTGATAGTGCTTCTTTCTAGATGGAAATGAATACTCAATAAACAGCAAGACTCAGGGACACTTGGGAGAATCATAGGAATTTTCTTATGAGAATCAAAAGGAAAAGCTTTAAAAGAAGCTTGTTTGAAGATGTGGCATTCACGCTAAAGCCTGCAAGATTGTGAATTCTGTTCATAATTAGACTTTGTTCAGTAGCTTTCACAACGTTTGTTTACACAGGTCTATTGAAGAAAACAAGGACAAGAATTTGTTTTTCACCTTTTAAGATGATGTGAGATGACTTGAAAAGTGAAAATATTACTTCTAATTTTTAGGCTGTTGATGAAGGAAACAAACAAAAATCCAAATACACACTACCAAATACTAAAGTAGTTATAGAGCAAAACTCTCTGGTTTGCCATTGAAAGCCACCGAGCATGTGTGCACCAATGCCATGCGTCATTTAGTAACCCTTGAGTACTTAGGAAATGCCAGAGATAGATAGGTAGCATGCTAGACCATCCTGACCTTTGGACACTAGCTGGCAGATGATTATAGTGACAAAATCCAGATTTTGTCACTTTTGAGATTAACCAGTTAGCACAAAATTTAGCAAAAATGGGAGGGCACTATAAACGTGTGCATCTTGTATGTAGATTCTTCTACATGTAAATGTTGACTTTTACCACTAGTTTATAGTCAATAATACATCTTTGATTTCTCTATTTTTCTAAAATGTTATAGTCTTGATTTCTCCCACTTACTAGCTCTGAAGCCTTGGGCAGATTACATAAGCTAGCTGAATGTCCAATTTATTTCATCATGAATAGAGCTGATAAAACATCAGACACAGTAATGTGTGTATTTTAAGAGCTGTGTGAAGGTTAGCTACTGGCATTACAATGGGCAGGTAAATGGTTAGCAAGAGGGCTTCTTGGCACTTGGGCAAGTCATTTAATTAGCATGTGAGACTTTGTAATAGCATTGCTCTGTCTCCTAGATATTAACTGCTCAATGGGAGACCTGATAGAGCCTTTTTCTCTGGGGTATTCCTAGATGATTTACATCAACATTTAGTGATGAAATGCTATTCTAGTCTACTAATACTGTTTTATGACTTCATGACTGCATTTAATAAGAGACCTGGGTAACTTGATATCTTTTTATGTATATTCCAGGCAATTTATTTTTGCTCAGGGCTATGGAAGAAATAATGTTTATTATGTTTTCTCCCCCAAATTGTCTTTAGAACAATAAAGATAAAAAGAAAAAAAAATAGGCTGTGAAGCCATACCATGTTGATTTACATATGCTAACTTAAATGCCCATGGAATTAAAAAGATTGTAGAAGGCGTAATATTTTTCACAATATTCAGGATAAAAACATGGAGCTATTAAATGGAGCAAACTTTTGGAAAAAGAGTGTTAACAGGCTGAAAATTTGGTTCATAATCATAAAATCTGGCCTAGTACAAAGTAGTTCATTTTTATGGGTAAATATATAAAATAAATAATATTGTCAAAATTAAATGTTTAAGCCCTGTATTAGCCCAGTTAAGTTAGAATGACCTCATACAGAAGACAAGATTTTCTTTAGATTGTCTTTAAGACAGAAGTTATTCATAAAGTTTTCATGACACTAGAGATTCCATGAGACACAATCAACAAACTCGGGTGTCTTCTATGTGATCGACATGGAAAGATTTAGAGATTGGTCAGGCTTGTGTTATTATGGCAAAATGCCTGATAGAATCATCTTAAAAAGATAAAGGAGTCTTCTGACTTACAATTTGGGAAGTTTCTGCCCATGGTCTTCTCTCCCCATTGCTTTTGGGTCTGTGGTGATGCAGCTTGTCATGTCAGGTTCTCATGACAGAGAAAACTGCTACCTTATGACAGCCAGGAAGGAAGAGGGGGGGGGAGTGCAGAGTCCCAATAATCCCTTCAAGTACACCCTCCAAATGAGGGTGTATTTTCTTCCCATGAGGACCCAGCTCTTAAATGCTAACCCCACCTCCCAATGGTATGATGAACTGGGGAGCAAACTTTCAATCCCTGGGCTTTGGGAAGCCCATTTATCCAGATAATGGAAAGATTTAAACAAATAGTGGATTCAGTGCCTGCCCTCTGTGGTCAAGTATATTTTCTGACCTGTACATATCAACAGTTTCTCCTTCATTCTCCCTCTCAACAGAGTTCATGTGATCACCCTTCTCGAAGGCCATCAGACCTCCTGATGAGCAAATGCCTTAGGTGTGTTTGTTGGTCCTTATTAAACAGGGTCCTTTGTAGACTTGTACTGGTACTACTTCCTCTTTGAAATTTTCTTCCCCTTTGCTTTCTATGGCCTCACTTCTTTTGGATGCCCTTTGACTTCCCCGTCTTCTTGAAGACCTTCCCCTAGGGATGCTTGTATCCTCCCCTAGAGATGCTTGTATCCTTCCCCTAAGGATGCTTGTATCTTCCCCTAGAGATGCTTGTATCCTTCCCTAGGAATGCTTGTATCCTTCCCCAAGGATGCTTGTATTCTTCCCCTAGGGATGCTTGTATCCTTCCCTAGGGATGCTTGTATCCTTCCGTGGGGATGCTTGTATCCTTCCGTAGGGATGCTTGTATCCTTCCGTGGGGATGCTTGTATCCTTCCCCAAGGATGCTTGTATCTTCCCCTAGAGATGCTTGTATCCTTCCCTAGAGATGCTTGTATCCTTCCGTGGGGATGCTTGTATCCTTCCGTAGGGATGCTTGTATCCTTCCGTGGGGATGCTTGTATCCTTCCCTAGGGATGCTTGTATCCTTCCGTGGGGATGCTTGTATCCTTCCGTAGGGATGCTTGTATCCTTCCGTGGGGATGCTTGTATCCTTCCGTAGGGATGCTTGTATCCTTTCCTAGGGATGCTTGTATCCTTTCCTAGGGATGCTTGTATCCTTCCCTAGGGATGCTTGTATCCTTTCCTAGGGATGCTTGTATCCCTCCCCTAGGGATGCTTGTATTCTTCCCCTAGGGATGCTTGTATCCTTCCCCAAGGATGCTTGTATCCTTTCCTAGGGATACTTGTATCCCTCCACTAGGGATGCTTGTATCCTTTCCTAGGGATGCTTGTATCCTTCCCCTAGGGATGCTTGTATTCTTCCCCTAGGGATGCTTGTATCCTTCCCCAAGGATGCTTGTATCTTCCCCAAGGATGCTTGTATCCTTCCCTAGGGATACTTGTATCCCTCCCCTAGGGATGCTTGTATCTTCCCCTAGGGATGCTTGTATCCTTCCCTAGGGATGCTTGTATCCCTCCCCTAGGGATGCTTGTATCCTTTCCTAAGGATGCTTGTATCCTTCCCTAGGGATACTTGTATCCTTCCCTAGGGATGCTTGTATCCTTCCCTAAGGATGCTTGTATCCTTCCTTGCCTTTTGCCTTCTATGTGCCACAGGCTTCCCCATCCACATCTTTACTCACAGCATGTGGGTAAGAGTCTTGCACTAGCTGTACACCTCAACTGCCTAATTCCTGTTACATTAAAACCTCTTAGGATGAATTTGCTGTCTTCCTTCAGATGTTATGAGTTGCTCCCAAAATCTGGGACATGGCAAAAGGCATCCTCTATCACCCCATCACACAAATGAGGAACCATTCTGTCATCCTTGAAGTTGGTTACATGTAACAAGTCAGGAAATGGCTTTCTCCGCTATTTAATTATGTTTTCATTTAATATTTTATTAAAGATTAAATTCTGAGCCTTCTCAACCATCCTTTGAATTATTTCAGTAACTTGCCATTGGTCTCTTGTCTGTTCTAACCACTACCTAGGCTGCTACTCAATAGTCTGTCATTCTGTCACAGGAGTGAGCATACAGAAGTAGGAACACACCCTTTTTTGTGAGTTTCAGTGACACCATTTTCTATAGAATGAAGTTTCTAGAATTCCTAAAAATCCTTTTCCTAGGTATGTGTGGCATATAGAACTGAGTTTTCAAAGTATAACATCTACCTCTTTTTAAAAGATCTTCTGTCACTTTTCTCCATGGAAAAAAATTAGTAGTATGCATTGACTCCAGGGAAAAAATAAGAATTTGCCATTGTCTAAAATTAACAAATTTGTAAGATAATCAAAGATTTCTCCTGGTTAGATTTGATAGCATGCATTAGGCATTTGTAAAGCTACCTACATAGATGATGTAGTTTGTATGGCAGAGACTATTTAAGTAATTTAAGGCAGCATTTCCATTTAATCTGATGATTTAAAAACTTTTTTTTCAAAACAGGATTTCTCTGTATTGTTTTGGAGCCTGTCCTGGAACTCATTCTGTGGACCAGGCTGGCCTTGAACTCAGAGATCCACCTGCTTCTGCCTCCCAAGTGCTGGGATTAAATGCATATGCCACCAACATCTGGCTTAAAAACTTTTAAATATGTCATAAAACTTAGATTATAAGTAATTGTCAGGATTCTAGGGAGTGAATACAAATTCTGTCTCCATAAACATAATAGAAATAAATAGCTTTGCAATATATTTATTTACTTACTTATTTTTGAGGCCTTAGCCTCTTGAATGTTGGGGTTTCAAGTGTATACCACAATGCATGTACACAAACACTAAACAAGTAAAATATAATAAAACACTTTTAAAAGTATAGAATGGGAAATGCTATTTGTAGAAGGGATAAAGTTCACAGTTCGTTCTTGCAGAGGTCAGATGCTGCAGACTCAGGAGTAAACTCCTCTGTTAGTGCTTGGGAAGAGCACGGGGAGCACAGGAGACACGCAGAGATTTGCAGGTCCCTCATATGCTGTGTTGCAGCATCAGCTTTCATCTCATGCATGTTTGCCTGTGCACTTTAATTAGTCTTTAGGATACTCACAGCACTGATATAATGCAAAAGCGGTGTCAGTAGTTGTTCAATGCATTTCTTTAGGAAATGATAGCAGCAAGGAAAGCCTGCACAAGTTCAGTACATGTTTTCCTTTTCAAATATTTTTGAAATGTGGTTGCTGGAATCCTCAGATACAGAGGCCGTGAATGTGGAAGGCTGCTTTTGTTTCTGTTGAGTGAGAATTAGAGGCGATACTGTGTTAGAACATTTTTTTAACGTTGTGTGGGTATTGCATTTCATTAGGTTTTCCTTAATTGCCCAGGGTAGGTGTGTGTCACAGAGCCCTGTGAGATCAGAAGTGCCTTGTGGCCCCTTCAGGTCCTTGGTACCTGATCTCAGAATCATGTGCAAGAACTGTTCTGCATATGAATGTATTCATGTGATGTTGATTGTAATTCTGTTCTAGACTTGTATTCAAACAGCTTGAGGGTTCGAAATCCCACAATTGGGGAGGAAGGGCTGGAAGAATATCTTCTAGCGACTTAATAACTAATTTTTTGTGTGTGAAATTTTGGCTTTATCAATTCTGTAGTGTCTCCTTTAGCATTTACTACAGAAAAATCCATAAATCTCACACTAATATTTTAAGAAATAATTATGTTTCCTCTTAACCATTTTTTTCTATCTTTGTTATCCCCGGTTCAATTTTAGGAAAGAAAAAAAGTACATTGACTGTTGCTGGAAAAACGTCACCGTGGGGGACTTCATTCGCCTCTCGTGCAACGAGATCATCCCTGCAGACATGGTCTTACTCTTCTCCACAGACCCTGATGGCATCTGTCACATCGAGACTTCTGGCCTTGATGGAGAGAGCAATTTAAAGCAGAGGCAGGTGGTGCGTGGGTATGCAGAGCAGGTAAAGAATGTCTTCTCCGCTGGCCTTATGGATGTTTCCTTCTTTCCTTCTTCCAAAGGAAAGGTCTGGGCTCATCTCCCCAGGGTAGACGAAGAGATTTTTAATTTAATTTTTACCACTGACAAAACAGAATCTCAGAAGACTTAATCCATTTGGAGATATCAGGGGATGTGCATTGTATTTTATAGATAATAGGATAAAAATGACTTTGGAGTTCACACATTTGGGTCTGCAATCAGATTGTGTGGCCCTGCATTAGAGGAACCCAGCAGAGTTCATTTGCAATAGAAATAATCACCTGCCAACTTCATTTTCTTACTCTTAGGGTTTTATACTTTGTGTTTTCACAGTTGTTCCTAAAATGTCTAATTACTTATATTCCAATGCTTTTAAAACCACTTATGCTTTCTCACACCACGAACTTCTAGACCATTCATCTTCTATAATAAGGGAGATTAGACTGACACAGATTTGAATAAATAAATTTTTGCTGTGCAACTGATATGTCTTTTATTCACAAAGTAGTGATTTGTAAAGTTATTCAAGTACGTTATGACTGAGCTTCCTCATATTAACATGGAAATGATGTCTCTTTCTTAACATCATTGTTTGACTCGTGTGAAAAACATGCTCATAGCTAAGTCTCACTTTTGTTTCTCTATGTCTGGAAGCACTTGAGATAAAGGATTTTAAAATTTAAGTCTTTTCCTTTGTTTTTACATCTGAAAACCTGAAGTACTAATAAGTTGGAATTCATTTAATACATAAATAAAACTGTATTAGCCTCCTAGTACCTTAGTGTTCTGTCTCACATTGGACCCCTCCTTCCATCTGTGGGTCTTCATGCAGATTGCTCTGTGGTTCAGCTGCCTTTGAGCTCTCTGTCTCTGCACTGTGATTCTGACAACGTCTTGCACAACTTAGAATTCTATTACAGCACTAAGTGTGTGTTAGGCTACTGTCAGGTGGCTAGCAGGCACAAGTTGGGTTCAGTTCCGCATGAACACAGTCACTTCCTTTGTAATTTGTAGCTTGTTTTAAGAACTTGGGCAAATTATTGGACCGTCTGTGTCTCTTCAGCTGTTCTTAGGCCAGATTGTTAACCAGCTGTTCACCAGCCTCTTGGGATTGTGAAAAAGAAATTAGTTAATATAGTTAACATACATAATGTAGATTCTAGTACATTAACAAATCCAATAGTAATTATTAACAAATCAAATAATATTATCACATGATTCATGTTTTTCATATTTGCTGCAGTGATATAAAAATATTACTCAAAAAGCTATAGCCAAACTCTCTCTCTCTCCAAGAAGATAGTCTGTAGCCCAAGTCAGCCTGAACTTCACTAATAGGAAACCTTGTAGGAAACTCATAGCAAGCCTCCTGCCTTAGCCTCCTAAGTGCTGGAATTACAGGCATGAACCACCAAGCCCAAGCTGGTGACTGGTTCTTATGAAGCCACATCTTCCAGACAGTGTTTTTAGAGTCTTGCCTGCACCCCCACTGGTTTCATAACAGAGTTACAAAAGTATCTGTTTGCCCTACTAGGGAATTTTGTGAGATGCTTATGTTCTGCTTATTTGGGAATTTTGTTCATGAACTTGGCCTGAGATCGAATACTTATATACTCCCAGGTGTTGCCACGTGCTCTGACTCTAGCAAACCATCAGGTTATAGGCAATGGCAACAACATGTTTTCCATACCTTACTGACACTAATGTTTGCTCCATGAGTAGGAGCTCTGATGCAGAGACCTGCGTGCACTTCAACACGTAACTTGCATCATACAATTAATCTGAAAAAGCTCCTTCTGTTTCTACAGATGTCTTATGAGCATTCTAAAGTCATTCTGATCCATTATGGGTCCCATTATTATGTCTATATTTTCTACATCCTAGGAGATTCATAGCATACACTCTGAGGTAAAAAGAGATGTCTCAAGTACTACATGTATTAAAGAGCATTGACCAAAATTATACAATGTTTAAATATCAAGATTTAATCATGAACTCTTTCTCTTTTGTGATGTTGGCAAAATATTTTTAGGACTCTGAAGTTGATCCTGAGAAGTTTTCCAGTAGGATAGAATGTGAAAGTCCAAACAATGACCTCAGCAGATTCCGAGGCTTTCTGTGAGTGATATGTAATTTACCCTTGTGGGCATGAAAGAAATTGTACTTAGTTCAGAAATGCTTTTGTTCGTTCATATCCAATGTAAATCATTAGAAGCTGCAGGGTTGGCCATCTATCATTTGGTATACCTAAGTAATTTAAATAAATGCTCATCTTCGTGTATAATAAAACAATCTAAATAACAAGACCCTCTAACGGTATTCCTGTGATTTCTCTTGGTGCTGTAAGAACACCTTTGGGGGCTGTATAGCTTAGACTGGCCTTGGATTTCCTATGCAGCCCAGGCTTGCCTTGAATTTCTGTTCTTCCATCTCAGCTTCCTGAGATGACAGATGTGCATCACCTTGCCCACCTTCGTGAGCGCCACATTCAACCTAGCAGATGTTGAAGTTTGGAAGGAAGGATTTTTGCAGTCATAAATGATATGCTAGGATGGTTTTCATGGGAATTAGGATAGCAGGTGTGCAATTCTGGTTGGAAAGAGTTAGTCACTGATTTGGAAGCTGGTGTTAAGAGTGTAGGAAGCCAGAGCAGTATATTCCCAATACTTAGAGTGCCCTCCTCAACCCTTTGCAAAGACACCTGTAATTTGGGGTCTTTCCCAACCTCAAGCCTGGCTTCTAGCACTCAGATGATTTGTTATTCTGAGCCAACTAATACCCACTAACTTTATTTTTACAAGAAAAAAAGTAGACGTAGTTGTTAGAGAAAATTCCCACCTAATTTCCTATTTTAAAAGGACAACATTGTCCTGAACTCATTTCCTAGACATTTAAAACATTCAGGGAAAAGCTAACGTCCCTCATGGGCTAACGATAAAAGTGTGGATTCTAGAGAGGAAAAGCTGACCCTCGCTAAAGAACTTTCCAAGCGATGTTTTTATGTTTTAAAACTCTCCCTGTGTGGGTTCCGCAGCAAATGTTGCATCAGTGAGGACTTTTGATGAACACCTACATGAACCATTTATAAATGTGAATGAACTCTTAGACTTAGCTTCCTCATCTATATAACCAGAGTTGTAAACCCATCGCTTTGGAGGCTGTGACAGGAGGATTGTCACAGATTCAAATCCAGTCTAGGTTTGACAGTGAATGTGTGACCAGCTTGGCTGAAGAGTTAAGCTTCTATTCAACCCGACCTCCAAAATAAACTGAGTTAACTGGAGTTGAGCTATTCCTTTGCACAGAACCCAGTTAGAAGAAAGACTGTAAAGCGGGGAACAAAATGACCAATCAGTTTTCCCCTTTCTTCTCAAAAATGAAACTTTTGTAGGGTTTTTACCTAATTTCTTTGCAGTTCCAGAGAGTCAGGGTAGTAGGTTTATTGACAATTTTTACTTGTAAGAAACAACGGCAGCTTATAGACTACTGGTTGTTGCTTAGAAAACCATCAGAATTTCATGATAAAGTGAAGATGACATTTTCTCAGTGTGTGAAAGGTGATTTCTGCTTGTTTTTGTAAGTATTTCACTGATTTTGCCCTGCACTCTTACTGCTATCGTAGTTTCGTCAGGTAATTGCTTTGATAATTTTGAAAGTGGAAAGGAAAATGCGATGAACACCCAGGTTCCACCCCAGCCGTGGCCATTTCACAGTGGTGCTGACTTTGTGCCATTTTTCCTACTTCCTTCCCTGGCCCTGTGACACATAACTTCACTGTGAGTACATCACTATGTACTCAGAGCAGAAAGGACATTAACAAAAACACAAAGCCTATTATCTCACTTGAGAAAAATCAAAACCTTCATTAATCTCATTTAATACCAGGAATTTGTTCAAATTTTTCCAACTGATGAGAAAAATATTTTCTGACAATTGTCCTATTCAAAACAGGACCAAATTAAGTTTAGCTAATGATATTACATTTAGCCAATCAATTTCTGACTTTCCTATCCCAAGAAATAGGGTCATTTACCCCTCTCTAGGCTGAGTGGCTTGCCTCCTTCCTGTGTTGAACCTTGTAATCTCCTTCTGCTCTCCCATACCATTGTTTGAGAGAGTCAGGCCATTTTCGCTGGCCTGGTTCACTCACCACATTTGGGTTTGGCCAACTGTTTCCTTCTAGTGAAATTTACGTTGTTTCTCTGGCCCTTTTATCTTGTCAGCTGTCCCTAGGCACTTTCAGAGTCTGTTGGACGAACTGGATTCTGTCTCTAAAAATAGCAAGCGGTACACATACAAATATGTCCTTCCATACATCTAACTATCCATACAAACAAACTATTGTTTATGATTCTAAATGTGTCACAGAGCCTCAGAAGCCACAGACTTCAGGTTGCAATTCTGGGGCCCTCACTTCCTTTCCCATAACTTGGAGGCCTGTGATGTCCGCTGCCCGTTATCAGATTGGCCATGTCAGCCTTCACCTTTAATTATACGTTGTCCCATCGGTCTTTCATCTAATGGCTTAAGCAACCACCAGTTGTCCATGCCCAGCAGGATTCTTAATTTCAGCCAAATCAAAGCTACCACTTTTCTAAATCAAGACTGTCTCCCTCACCACCCATTACGTTGTTCTCAAATGCAGTCTGTCCTAGAAAAGCAGGGTCTTTATTGAGAGTATTGGTGAGTTCTTGCAGTAATGGAATGTGACAGATAACAACTTCTAGAAGTAATGGGAATTTGCAATTTGTTTCTGCTTTCTGGTCCCCACAGCAGGTTAACTCCCACAGCAGAGGCAAATTAGCCAGAGACTTGGAGCCTTTTCTCTGAACTGTCAAATTTACCACCTGGATATAGAACCCTCCAGGATAAACTGCTGTTTTGCCTCCCTACCTTTGCCATTTAAAAGTAAATCTATATGCTGCCTCCCTTCCAGGGAACACTCCAACAAAGAACGCGTGGGTCTCAGCAAAGAGAACTTACTGCTAAGGGGATGCACCATTCGAAACACGGAGGCTGTTGTGGGCATCGTGGTCTATGCAGGTTCGTTCTCCTCCTGCCTTTATCATGTCCTCTTCGGTGCCTCCTGGTGTTCACATTCTTCATTTACTCAAAAGGGAACCTACGGGAGGGTAATTGTGCCCCGATGAACTTAACACAGATCCTGGTTTCCCTACATAAACCACAGATTAAACTGACAAAATGTTACACAGCCATATTTGATTAAATTGGCAGCCAGAGAGATTTTAACTGTGATGCTTACCCCTTGCTTTTGTTTTGTACATTTTCAGACCTACTCTTTTCCATGCAGGTCATGAGACCAAAGCGATGCTGAACAACAGTGGACCACGGTACAAGCGCAGTAAATTAGAGAGAAGAGCGAATACAGATGTCCTCTGGTGTGTCCTGCTTCTGGTCGTAATGTGTTTAACTGGTGCGATTGGTGGGTAAAATTCGATTATCTGTTAATATCTTGCCAGTATCATTTAATACATTTTTTCCAAAACAATATCTATGTTTGGTTTTTGTAAGAGATATTTATTTACTAATTTTCCCCACATGTTTTCTTCGCTTATCTTTTAGCTTGACAAACACTAATATTGAGTGTATCCACTTACACTTTTCCAGGGTACTGAAGGGACCTGGGAAGAGATTAAGAGGGAGAGTCAAGGACAAGACACAGTGTAGCCCTTTGAATTTGAATGTGTTTCAAAGAACAAACAGTGTTGAAAGCATATCTATCATCTGTTTCTCTTGAGGGGTGTAGTTCTCTGTTTACACACTCTCTGTAGCATCTTTTTGGTGTCTGTGTGCTTTTTAAAGGTCATGGAATATGGCTGAGCAGGTATGAAAACATGCTATTTTTTAACATCCCTGAGCCGGATGGACGTGTCTTATCACCTGTGTTGACTGGATTCTACGTGTTTTGGACCATGATTATCTTGTTGCAGGTAATTTCTGCTGGACTGAACAGGAAATTTCTATGTCTTTTCTCATTATCTAGCTGTCTTTACCTTCTTTCACTGACTTTAACTTTTTAAAATTGTTTGTACTTTATTAGGTCTTGATTCCCATTTCTCTCTATGTGTCCATTGAAATCGTGAAGCTTGGACAGATCTATTTTATTCAAAGCGATGTAGACTTCTACAATGAGAAAATGGATTCTACTATTCAGTGTCGAGCTCTGAACATCACCGAAGATCTTGGACAGATCCAATACCTCTTTTCTGATAAGACAGGAACTCTCACTGAGAATAAGATGGTTTTTCGAAGATGTAGTGTAGCAGGATTTGACTACTGCCATGAAGAAAATGGTGAGTGTGGAATTTCTACAAAAACTACCTCCAACTTTTCCCCAGCTACTTAAATCCCTAGTAATTCTTTCCAGGAAATGTCAGGTTAAGTAGTTGTAATTAACACACTCCCACTGGACTTTAAGCTGCTGCATTTTTGTTCCTTTAGAGCAGAGGTTCTCAACCTGTGGGTCATGACCCCTTTGGAAGTTGAGTGATGCTTTCACGGGGTGGCAAAATGCAATATTAAGTAGCAACAAGAATAGTTTTATTGTTGGGGTCATCACAATGTGAGGAACTGAATTAAAGGGTCACAGCATTAGGAAGGTTGAGCTCCACTAATTTAGACGTTAGGAGATACTGAGCAACACTACACTGTGATAAGCACTGGATGCTGAAGGGATATGAAATGGTTCAGTAATATGGATACTGAACATGTCTTTTGGTTAATACTCTTATTTTTCTCAGTGCAGATGTACACACACACACACATACACACGCACACACACACACACACACACACACACACACAGAAAGAGAGGGGGGCCTGGGGAATAAATGAATTTAGGAAAAGAGACTATTCTTCCTAGAATATAGCTTGAGACATAATATTTTCACTGAAATTAAAGCTATTAACTGTACCTGGGTTTCTGTAGCCAATGTTTCAGGATTTTCTAGCAAAGGAATTGCCTAGGAGACAATTATGTAAAGAATACTGCTGTGTAGAAATAACCCCATCTCACATACAGATGATTTAAACACATTTGACAATACTATTATGTGTTTCAAAATCTGCCAACTTGGCAGTGTGACCTGTGCACTGGCATCATTGGCGGTGGTGGCGGCACCTGGGCTGTACTAGGAATTATGGAGCTGCGATTAAAATCTCATTTTAACAGAATTCTCACACAATTACCATGCATACCTAAATTAAAAAGCCACATCTGAAAAAAGAAAAAAGAAAGGAAAAAAAGCCACTCTTACTTTAGGACTTAAATGTCATTTAAGAAATAAATTTGTGCCTCCAAAGTCACAGTGAAACCCTGTCTTGAAAAACCAAGATAAATAAATAAATAAATAATAAACTTGTCATGTTGGTATAGTTAATTGCAGAACGGTTACAAAGGTGTTGTAGAGGGTTCGAGGTTTGATGTGTCATCGCACCGTTTCTCCTGTTAATTCTCCTGGAATGCCTTTGGTAAGTGATACACTGATGTCAATACATCATCGTTACCTGAAGTCTGTGCTCTGAAAGTACACTTTGTTTTCACTTATGTCTCTTGTGGTCCCAGGTGACAACTGGAATGCCAGTAACAGCCATCATTTAGGCTTCTGGACCCTAGACAGTTTCTAGAGACTTTCTGTCTTTTGGATGAACTCATCAGTTTTGATAGGCACTGTTCTGGGACTTGGTAGACTGTCTCTTAATTTTGGGGCTGTCTGGCAAATGCCTTTATGATGCAGTTTGTAAATTTGTTGATCCATGAAGGCATCAAAGAACACTGTCCAATAATAAAAAATATGTGCAGTCAAGCCTTTTAAGACTGAAGCCCTTTTCTGTCACCTGCCAAGTATGTGTACTTCAGCAAGATACGTAATTTCTCTGAGCCTCAGGGAGGTAGAAAGGCCATTATAGTATCCACTTCATTAAAGTCATCTGTGCACAGATGCACAGAGCACAGCACAGATACAGGTCTTACACATTAGTTGCTATTACTGTTGTTTTTAATTTTTTGTTTTGAAAATAAGAACCAGGTCTGCTATTTTAGTATCTCATAGTCCAGTGTGGGAGACGGATGTGTAATTATAAAACTATCATGTAACATTAATGCCGATAATACTGGGTCTGGGGGATGGTCCAGTTGTTAAAATGTCTGCATGCATGCTTGAGGATTTCAAATCCCCAGCGCCCACATTATATATATATATATATATATATATATATGTATATATATATATATATATATATATATATATATGGGTTGTCATGCACCCGTAACTTCACTGCTGAAGAGACAAAGACTTTCCTGCACCCTTGGAGCTCATTGGCCAGCCAGGCTATCCAAATCAATCAGCTCCAGGTTTAGTGAGATACACTGTCTGAAAAATTACTGTGGTTCCCTCTGGCTTCCACTAAAGAACACACACGTGCATACATGCACATATAAGCACACACACACTTACATGAATATGTACATATCATATACCACACACACACAGAGAAATACTTGTTCCAAATTTGGTTTGACATTCAGGCACCCAGGTAGTTCTGGAGATGAATTTTGCCCTGACTTAATTTGGCATACTAAAGGCAGAACATCAGATGTTCTTGGAACGCGTGACATGTATGGAGAATCAGTTCAGAGCAGGGGTTTGGGTGTTGGATATATGTGGATGATGTGGTTGGAAGAAGGTTGGCTGGGTGTGCTGTTGACAAATAGGTAAAAGATGGGATGCCAGGTGATGGTTTAGAAATGAGTTTATTGTGAATGGTGTGAAGGAACATGTACAGATGATGTGTGGAGGGGAGCTCTTTGCATGTGCTGTGTTCAGCCTGTGTTGGCCCTATGGAGAGCACATTATAAATTATCAACTACGATAAGCTAATTTTCCATGGTCTCAGACCTACTTATATCAAACCAATGCAAGTAGTAGGTTATAAACAGACTTTGGAATACTTGAGAAGGGAATGGCAAAAGAAGACGTGATTAGGTAAGGAAAAGAAATTAGAGATGATTTGTCTAACGCAGGACCTACCTGTAGATCTAGAGAGCAATGACAGACTCTGTTTCCTGTGTGAATCAGAAAATTATTCCTGGCCCATTCTGAGACTTTCTGGGCTTTATCATAATTTGAGTATATTTTACTTATTGATATGATATGAACCTGGTTTTCACAGCCATCTTAGATATAATTTTCTCTGGGCCTGGAAGTTTAGTAGAGGCTCTGTTTTCTGAATCACTCTGTAATTTTCTTGACCTATATGTTTCTAGAGTTTTCCACGAAGTGAGTAAAGGTTGAGTCATTCTGTCCATTACATTCCATTATCGAAGTTCTACTTATTGAGTAAGTTTGTCCTAGAGTAATAGCTGAGCCACTGGATGTCATACTAATTACACAACCGTGTGAAACTAATTACCCCCATGATGGCTCAGAGGAAGTACTTGAACCCATTACAGCAGGTTTTGGGGGGTATTTTAGCTGTTTTAAAAATGTCATCTCATTACAGTACATTTCTTGAAATAGAGAAGTTTTATCAATCTCAGCACTATTCCATTTAATATGTTGATGTCTAACCACTGAGTGCTAACAGCCATTGCCAAACGTGCCACAGGAAACCTATTCACTACCACCCTCCAAAAACTTACCAAAACAACAACAGACAGAAAAACAAAAAGATTCAACTTCTTATAACTGTTCAGAGTCAAGGAGTCAAGATATACAGATATAAGCTTTGGCTTCAGAGACAAGAAGACTACATTTAAATCCCAGCTCTACCTCTAGTTAGCTGTTTTTCCATGATTACAATATTAGCCTCTCTGTTTAGTTTCCTCAGCTGCAAAAGGAACAATAGTTCCTGTTGGATAAAAGTGCATTTTGAAGGTGAAAATGAATGTGGTGTGTGTGTATGACTTTTGATGAAAAAAATTTTAATAAATCTAAGTCCCTACTCATAACTTCCCCTTAGCACTAGAGATACTTCATTTACATACCTATTCATCCATTTACCAAATACTTGTTTAAGGTTTAAAAAAATGACTCATAGAAATTTGACAGAGGAGATTGACATGTGTTAAAATTGGCCACATTTGAGACTGGAGAGGTGGCTCAGTGGTTAAGAGCACTGACTGCTCTTTCAGAGAGCCTGGGTTCATTTCCCAGCACCCACATTACAGGTCACAACTCTCTGTAGTAACTCCAGTTCCAAGGAATCTGACACCTCACATTGACATACATACAGGCAAAACACCAATGCACAAAAACTAGAAATAAACTTATTTTTTTAATTGGCCACATTCATGCATATGGCTATATTTCGAAACACTAGGTCACAGAATCTTGGCTGTGATATCCAATAATTCCTGTTTTAAGATTAATCTATTAGTCGGGCGGTGGTGGCACAAGCCTTTAATCCCAGCACTCGGGAGGCAGAGGCAGGAGGGTCTCTGTGAGTTCGAGGCCAGGCTGGACCGACAGCCTCCAAAGCAACACAGAGAAACCCTGTCTTGTAAAACCAAAAAAAAAAAAAAGATTAATCTATTATGTTTTTGTGAGATGATAAATTAATAAAGTTTTTTTAGCTTATAAAATGAGAGTTTTGAGCTTAGTGCAAGGCCAGCTGATCTATAGAGCTACTTCCAGGACAGCTAGGGCTACATAGAAAAAGCCTTCTCAAAATACAAATAAATAATAAGATAAAATGGGGTTGTTAATAGTTCCTACTCTGGAATGTCATAATGATTCAGTGAAGCAAAGGTCTGGTGGATGGTGTCATTGAACCCATGAAAACTGTAAATGTCCAGTGAATAGTCTGGATGGGAGCTGAAGCTAAAGGGCTCCAGAAAGAGTGAATACTTGCTGAAAGCCACTTAAATCTATAATCTTAGCACATTGGAAGTAGAGTTAGGCGGATCAGGAATTCAAGGCCATCCTTGGCTGCATGCTGAATATGCTGGGTTTAATGTTTGTCTCAATAAACAAACAACAGAAAGGAAGAAGAAAAAGAAGCTACAGTATTGCTTCTTAGCCTTTCCGTTATCTTAAATATGGCAAAATTATTACAATAAATAAAATGTGAGAACCCTTTATAAAATAATTTGCCCTATCTATATCTTATTCAGTAGCTGGAATTAGGATGAATAGACACAGCCACCAACACAACAAGCATGTTCCCACTGTCTGTTCCTCTGACACAGTTTTAATAGTAAGTAAACACAACAAGGAAGCTCTCCCTGATCTTCTAAGGGAGGAAGTCATCGGGAACATATAAATAGCAGAGATCAGGACCTGGCAGAGAGTCAAAATAAAATGGCTTACCATATGAGAACACTAGACAGCTACTTTGGACTATATGCTTAGGTATGACCTTTTAAAGTGGCACATTAGAGTCTAACATCTGAATGACAGAATCTAGATATTCTGGGGCAAAGGATTTCCACTCCAAGGGAGCAACTCCTGTACAGGGCCTCATGCTGTAGAGACCTCATATTTTCAAAGTAAGTAATAAGGCACATGAATCTGAATTAGACTAAGGTTGTAGAGCAGTGGTTCTCAACCTTCCTAATACTGCAACCCTTTAATACAGTTCCTCATGTTGCAGTGACCCCACCCCCTCCCAACCATACAGTTATTTTCATGGTTACTTCATAACTGTAATTTTGCTACTGTAGTGAATTACAATGTAAATAGCTGTGTTTTCTGATGGTCCTTTAGGGGTCATGACCCACAGGTTGAGAACTATTGATGTAGACGCAAGGAGGAGGTAAAGGTCATATTGGGTTATTTAAGACTGGATAGAGAGCCCAACTTATTCTGAGAGGATCCTGAGGACACTGGAAAGTGTTTTTACAGGAAGTGATCTTATCCTTTAGGGAGGTCTCTCTAGCTACCATTTGAGGGATGGATTTCAGACGGGCAAAGAGACTAGTTTTGAGGTATTGCACTAATTCAGTTGAAAGATGATGGCAACCTGACTAAGGTCATGGAAATAGGGAGAAGTCTGGTCACTCGGGATAGATTAGATGTATGATGGGCATGTGCTGGCAAGCCTCTGGGTATGAGTAAGTAGTGAGGGGTCGAGTCATTTATTTGTGATTCAGAGTATTTGCTGTAAATGTGAGAATAAGATGATGTTCAATAGCTGTTGCATCTTGGATGCTTTAATAACTTTAAAAACTATAAATGCCTACCCATCACTTTCCCTTAACACTAGAGATACTTCATTTATGTACCTGTTATCCATTATTCATTTACCAAATACTTGTTTAAGATTTAAAAAAACACAGGCTCATAGAAATTTGACAAGGGACATTGACATTTGTTAAAATTGGCCACAATCATACATATGGCTATATTTAGAAACACTATAGCATTAGGGTCATAGAATCTTGATGTGGAATCCAACAAATCTGGTCTTAAGACCAATCTAGTCTGTTTTTGTGAAATGACAAATTAAAGTTTATTTCTTTGCTTACAAAAAGGCCCAATGCATAGTGAACAAATGTACTATCAGAATGGATTGTTCAAGTTTTTGGTCACCATCTAGGTAGGACAATATTGTTTATAAAGGAGAGGAGAAATAGGAAAGAGAGAAGATTGAGGAGGAAGAAGAAATAGCTCCTACGAGGTGGAATTTAAGATTACTGTTATTAATTAATTAATTTGTTCCTCAAGTATTTCTTGAGTACCTATGAGCATTGGACTCTCAGGACATATTAGCAGAACATGAGTTTCTCTGACCATTTTAAGGTGTATATTTTATGGGATGATAGGAAAATAGGAACCAAAGTATATAGTGGGCAGTAATGGCAAGATTAGAATCAATAGTAAACAATGGGGCTCAACCTGAGAAATCTTTGCTGTTAAGTAGGATGGACTCAAGAGAGGTCAAGGTATGTACCATACTACTATCCATCTAATAGAAGAGCCTTATGATAACCAACTGCAAGTGTCATACGGAGAGTTGAATACATGTGTCTGAATTTCAGTGAGAGATCAGAGTTGAAGATTCAGGTTGTTTTAGTTAGGGGCACTGTTGCTGTGATGAAACACTGTGACCAAAGCAAGTTGTGGAGGAAAGGGTTTATTTGTCTTGTGCTTCCATATCACAGTCCATCATCAAAGGAAGTCATGGCAGGAACTCAAGTAGGGCTGGAACTTGAAGGCAGGGGCTGATGCAGGGGCCATGAAGGAATGCTGCTTACTGGCTTCCTCATGGCTTGCTCAGCCTGCTTTCTTATAAAACCCAGGTCCACCAGCCCAGGGGTGGCACCACCTATAACAGGCTGGGACTTCCCCCATCAATCACTAATTAAGAAAATGCCTGATTCTGTAGAGGTATTTTCTCAATTGTTGTTCACTCCTCTCTGATGACTCCAGCTTGACATAAAACCAGTAGATTGATTTATAGGCTATGCATAAAGACATTCTGTTTCAAAGATCAGACCATATGAGAATACCAAGAAGAGGTGTGTAGATGGAGAAAAGCAGGCAGTCCTGCAGCTTGCCAGTAGCTGAAGTGTCCACTTGTAATCCCACCTTTGAGGAGTGGAAACAGGCAGATCCTGGAGCTTGCTGGCCAGGCATCAGGCATTCTACCTTCCATGGTGAGTTCTAAGCCAGTGGGGGGTCCCTGTCTCAAAATACAAAGGAAGAAACATAAAACAAAACAATGAATCCTAACAAACAATGCTCAAAGTTCACTGTCCTTCACATACATATACATGTATGTGTACCCCTACACATCCACATATGTGTGAAGGTGCACATGCACGCATGTGCGTGTGCACACACACATATACACACACACTAAAATAAACATGTATGAAGGAAAGCTAGGAAAACTAAACAGTTAGTGGCAGCAGTGTAGAAGAGAAAACAGGTAAGGATGACCCTAGAAGCCCAAAGAGTTATTTCCAGAAGGAGTTCAAATGAGATAAGGACACACATACACATATATGTATACATGCATACATACATGCATATGATCGCTGGGCTTGGCAAGAGGAGCTTATAGGTGACCCTGAGAAGAGATAAGTTAAGAGTTAAGACAGAACATCCTGAAATTGGTTAAGGAGAGATTGGAATATGTGAAAGATAAATGTGGAAAGAAAGTCCTTGAGGACCCAGAGGGAGGGATCCAGAACACAAGTGGAGGGCTTGACGTTTGAAACAAGGAAGGCTGAGTTTTGCATCACAGAGTAACAGAAAATGAATGTGAATAAAGCTGCAGACGAGACCCTAGACCTAGAGATGGAAAAGTAAGGGACTTCCTAATCCATTGTGTCTTCATTTCCCAATAAAGGGTGGGGTAAGTTTATTGCCTATGGATTCTCAAAGGGAGAGTTCAGAGGCCAGGACAGAAAAAATGATGGTGTAAATAGCTCAGGAACTACCTTCCATATTCAGGCTGCAAGTTCCACTCAGAAGGTAACCAAGTGTGAATTTTATCCTACAGCCAAGAGGCTCGAGTCCTACCAGGAAGCTGTCTTTGAAGAGGATGAATGCACAGACACTCTCGGTGGCTCCCTCAGCAACATGGCTAAACCCAGAGCATACAGCTGCAGGACGGTTCACAGGGGCCCTTTGGGAAGCAAGCACTCAACTCATCTCTCTGGGAGCACTACTGCCTTAGGAAATGGAGAAGGATCTGAGGAAGTGCCTCATTCCAGACAGGCTGCATTCAGTAGCCCCATTGTAAGTGTGTGAAGACACTCCCGGGCAGAACAGCCCCCTGGTAACAATAGTCCAAACCACACTGTTTCCCTTTGTCTAGGAAAGAGGTGACATCATTACAGTTCAACATGAAGCTGACATATAGTAAGTTGTAGAAAATAATACAAATTTGACATTTGTTGCATAATTTGGTGTTGAGAAGTCAGGTACCGTTTCTGAAAAATGTAGTATTTCTGGTCAAGGATGATGATATCAGAGCCTGAAGAAGGCAACATTGACTTAAGGATAATGGCTGACTCTAAGGTCCACCAAGACTGAGCCAGAATTATCTTGGAGACAGGTATGTTTGTCTAATTAATAGGCAAACGATGCAGGGCTCATCAAGTCCTCAGCGCTGCTGGGTCAGGGAGTTTGAATAGAGGGAAAGTCACCAGTGTGTGGCCTTTGTATTTTTCCTTCAGGTGTGTGGTATTTGGGAGTCAGAGGAGTCCATGAAAAGGCGTGTGTGTCCACAGAACACAAAGTAACCTAAGTAGAACGACAGCCCCTGAGCTGCAGGGCCATCAGGAAATGAAATGAAACCTTAGTAGAGGAGCACTAGAGAGGAGTGGGGACAGCTTTACAACTGCTGGCCAGCTCTGGCATCTGGTAGAGTATTTCATTTTCCACTATTAAACCACGGGTGATTAGAGGTTTGTAGAAACAATTAACAGCTTCCTGTTACTCTCGCTTTTAGAACAGGTAACATTTAAATTATGTTGAAGCTGTACAAAAGCTTCAACAAACAGGGAGGAGAGCAAAGAAGAGAGTCTAGCCCAATTTTGCACACTGAACTTGGATCTAACCAGGGAAGAAAAATAACAAAAGAAGAAAAAAGAGCCTGAAATAGAATTCCTTCAGCCAAGTAGATGGTGTGAGCCCTGATAATGAACGTGAACTTGGAAATGATCAAGTGCTGTCACACAAGGTGACAGCAAAGCCGTGACTCCCACTATGAAGCCACCAAGGCTTTGCTGACAGTGCAGAAGAATGTTTCTCAACCTGTGGGTTGCACCCCCCAACATCCCGCTCACGGATGTTACATATCAGATATCCTGCATATCAGATATTTGCGATTCACAACTAGCAAAATTACAGTTATGAAGTAGCAACAAAATAAATTTATGGATGGGAGTCGCCACAACATAAGGAACTATCTAAAGGGCCCAGCCTTTAGAAAGGTTGAGAACCCCTGGTGTAGGAGCTGTCTGTGTCCTGCTGTGTATTCTGTGATCTAGTCATGCGTGGAAATATTCTCTGAGTATTAACCAAATGCCTGGTTGAGACCGTGTGGGAGCTATTATGCATTTATTTTCCATGGGTAATGACTCTAGTTTATTTGTTTCTCTACCCTTCCTGCATAGAATAGAAGGAAGAGTTTGATGCTAGTGTACAATAAACTTGCATTGCTTATCATGTGCCATGTACTCAGGTAAGGGATTCCAAGATCAGTAGAATGTTGTCCTCGCCTTAAATAGACTTCTAAACTCTGGTGAAGGCACTATTAAGTAAAGAGCTATGTCAACTAAACAGGCGTAGTTTCATGGAAGATGGCAATGTTCATCCAGCACAGAAAGAGACCTATGTTAATCTTGTAGAACAAGGCACAGTGAAGATGGTTTTGATCTTGGGGTAATAATTATGGATATAGTCATTTATATATATAAAAACTGCACGTGACAATTCTGTACCCTCTCCTCTACTCAAAAACGAGCTTCTTCATGAGGGATGAAATTATTTTATCAAAACCGGCAGAGCCCCTCTTTCTGGAGCTTCATTCTGATGTGGGTGTCTCCTTACGTCTTCCTGTGGGTCGTTCTTTTATTTGATTTTCTTTTATGGTGATTTCAGTGTCTTCTGTGGTCCCAAGTATTTGGATAGACCCAGCTTCATTTTGGCAGTTCTTATCTGCAGGATATTGCTGACAGGTATCTCTTTTGTGACTGTGTGAATACACACGCAGTACTTTGACTAGCTTTAGTATTGCTTTTACCGTCATGATCACAGAGCAGGATTTCAGCTTTGTAGTTGTCTACTTGCTGAATTTAGACAGAATTTTAAGACTGCTTTGTGACAGCTGATAGCGTGTGAATTTTAAACCTGCCATGACCCTGGTAATCTGAAAGGTGAGAATGTGTCACTTGAAAGGAAGGAAAGAAGAAAGGCAGGCAGGCAAAGGAATGGGCCTGTAAGTAAGCCTCCGCAGGCTAGCTGTCAGCAGACTGGAGCTGAGACATGAGCAGAGAGCGTGTAATTGCCAGCATCGCTCTTGCTCTTCTCTCATTAAACCTGTGATCACTCTTAACAAATGCAGAAACACTGGCGGTGTTATGTCAGTGTTCTCTTTGCTTTTTAAATAAAATTCTGAACAAGAGCAACGTGGAGTTTGAGAGGGATACAGGCCATCATGGCAAGGAAAGCATGGCATGGGAAGCCTGAGGCGGCGAGTCACATTGTGACCACAGTCAGGAAGCAGAGTGAGGAAAGCTGATGTCAGCTGGCCTTCTCCTCCTTTGTTCTGTCTAGGACCACAGGGAATGGTGCCGCCCACACTTACAATTGGTCTTCCCTCTTGAATTAAACCTCCCTGGAGACACCCTCACAGACACACCCGGGAATTTTTTTTTTCTTAGCTAGTCCAGTCAAGTTAACAGTGAAAGTTAACCATGACAGTACCGTGTAAGTTGAGTATCACGTGTCCCTGTTGCCCTCTCTTCTACCAGTCACCTCTCCTGGCTTCCCTGCAGTCAGTGTACTGTGCCTGGCAGCATCCAAGATTCCCTGCAACCCTGTGGGGCTTCTGTGGGGCCATGATTCTAAGCAGTACTCTCTACAGCAGACTGAATGATGCTGTGTCAAAATCAGATTTCTACTATGACACACATATGTTAAAACTAGCACTCTCAAATGAGTCTGAGATACACTATGCTAGGTGAAATGGGGCTCCTGCACCCCACTCTAGTGACAGAACTTCCTAGAGTAAATCCTTACCAGGAATTGTCAAGAGAAGGCCACAGTTGCTAGAAAACTCTTGTAAATAAATACCCTGGCTATAAAATATGGATTAGTCTCTCTGCCTGCTTATAATAAATATTTTTATAGAAAGTTGTTTTTACAATATTAATTAATTGAGGAAAATGTTTTTTCAGTACTCTGATATGAATTAAATCTCAATTTTGAAATTATTTGTATTTATCAGTTGTTGAATAAAATACAGCCATGATAGAATTCTGAGTACAATAAAATATATGCCTAGCATTATGTATTTCAAAGTGAGAAATACCCTTTCAGCTAGATTTTGGTAGAAGGTGGTGTTTCTATCTCCTGCTTAACTGAAAGGTAAAAATATTCTCCATTAATAATATACAATCTGTATTCCCTTTCATTTCTTTGTGTTTCATTTTGTTGTTTTGTTTCCCCGGATACCATATGCATTAAACTTTTAAAGTACTGGGCTGGTGAGAAGGCACTTGACACCAAGCCTGACAACCTAAATTTGATCTCTGGAACCCACAAGGTGGAAGGAGAAAACCAATTTCCTTTAATCGTTATCTAATCTCCATATGTGCTGTAGTACATGCATGAGTATGCACACACACACACACACACACACACACACACACACAAATGTAGAAATAAATTAAAATTTTGTTTACCATTGTAGAACACTTTGTCATATTGTCTCTTCAGGAAACAGACGTGGTACCAGATACCAGACTTTTGGACAAGTTTAGCCAGATTACCCCTCAGCTCTTTGCCCCGCTGGATGGGACCATGCAGAGTCCACCCCTGGAGATTTTGTACATCATGGATTTCTTCATTGCACTGGCAATTTGCAACACGGTGGTGGTTTCTGCTCCTAACCAGCCTCGGCAAAAGGTAAACTCTAATGCAAACAAGGGTTTCCTCAGCAGCAGACAACGTGAAGTGTGCATGTGTCTGTAGTGGTTTTGTTAGGTGATGATAGTAATCACCAGATCACCAAGAATAGCAAGTGCAAACCATTTACCCAGGACTTGTTCTTGGCTCTGCCCCTACCACGCTCTAAGAGGTTTACTGGTGCTAACGTGTTCAGTCCTCTCAGAGGACCAAGAGCCATGCACTCTGGCTCTGTTCTTCCTCATCCTAAACCTTGGAAGGATTTCACCAGAGTTGCAAAACCAGTGTATGGGGGAGGGGGTTGGTCCTAGGCAGTAGGACTCTAGGCTTACTCTATTATTTGCCTAGGAGAGGATCTAGGATGAGAACTTTTCACTTTGCCTTCACTGTTTTACTAAATTAAAGCTGTCTGTGAGATTTCTTCGGAGACCTCCAACATCGTATGCATGACGTCATGCAAAGTCTGAATCATTAGTTTAATGGTCATGACTATGACAAGCTTTCTTCCTGTATCAGCTAGGTGGTTTTAACTCAGTCTGCTCCTTAGCTGGTATGTGTACAATGTACCAGGGTTCAGCAGTTCCTTAGTATAGTAATAGCTTTAGAGCTCATGGAAAATTCATCTTCCGGCTAAGAAGGAAAATATTGCAGAGCCTGGTGACCTAGCGTGGTGTGCTAGTCTCCTGGTGTATCTTGCCTTTCCTGCACATCCACTTAAAATTCAATTTGCAGCAAAACCCAATTAAATTTTAATTTCCCAGCCGATCATTTCCTTTTGGCAACTTCAGAGGTGGGAACTTTAACATAAAAGTAATTCACTTCCAATTAGGCTGTACCCGATCAGAGGCTGTATTTTACAAGGCATTGCCTAGGAAGATGCTCTGGCAAAAGCGATTGTGGAGTTAGAGACTAAATAACGGGATTAATGGAAAGTTGTACGACACAATATTTGACACCTCTTTTCAGTGTTGGCAACCTTTGGTGATTTCTTTCTATAAAGTATTATTGATGTAATGCTAACTGCCTGGAATAAAATCTTTGGAGGCATAAAAAACCCCTGTGCCTCCCAAATTGTTGGGTAATAAGAGGAAGGGGGCTTACTGTGAGAAACAGAGACCTCACCTGCAGGTGCATGCCCTGCCTCACATCTGAGTCTCTGATGACTGACCAAAGTTAGTTTCTGAAGAAAATGTTGAAATGATAGGCATGAAATTATAAGCTAAATCACTGATGTTAAAAGTGTGAAAGAAGCCGGGCGGTGGTGGCGCATGCCTTTAATCCCAGCACTCGGGAGGCAGAGGCAGGCAGATCTCTGTGAGTTCGAGGCCAGGCTGGACTGGCAGCCTCCAAAACAATACAGAGAAACCCTGTCTCGTAAAACAACAACAAAAAAAAGTGTAAAAGAAGACAGGATACAAATAAGAACAAATTGTGTACTAATAAAGAGTTCAAAATCATGTGACGGGTGGCTATGTTCCTCTTTGACTTTCATTCACTGGCTTATTTTCGTGTAAATGTAAAGATAACAGCCTTTTCTAGACTCTGAGAAGGGAAAAGAAAAATGTATTGTATTAGCTTTTTGGTTGATTTTTTTTCCTCCTGTGGTCTTGGTGACGTGTGGTCTTACTTTTTTGTTTTCCTGTTTTTTCTTATTGTTGTCTGAATTCTTCCTGTAATACTCCAGTGTATCCATGAGCTCTATAAACTTCACTTTAAAATAAACTTCAAGAAGATGTTTTTGTTTTGGTATTGAATATTTAATTAGCTTGAATTTGTAGTTTAATGGCAATGGATTGTTTTATAGTTGATTCTCTGAGAAAGGGTCTCATTATGTAGCCCAGCCTGCTTTGAATTCTGAGATTATATATAAACACTACCATGCCTGGTTCAACTTGCTTATAATTGCTATTGCTAAGCTGTGCCAATAAAGATAATAGATTTCATACATGTAGAATTCTTGTTTAGAAACAGTTCTATAAGAAAGACGAATATTAGCACTTTGTATCCTTTGTTTTCAGTTGTTGATATCTTCTTATGTAGTTAGAGAAATGTGGCACATCCTTTTTCTTGGTGACTTTCATGTCTTCCTGTTTGCAATGGAATTTCTGGGGAGAAAGCAGATGGACAGTTAAGACAGTGTTAACTCTTCCATCTCTCATTTTTTCCCCAGTTGAACTTTAGAGTTGTGATGGTCTAATTTTGGACACGTTATTGAGACCTCTCCTGTTATCTTTCCTAGATTGGGCTCTCCTCACTGAGTGGAATGCCCATCAAGTCCTTGGAAGAGATTAAAAACATCTTCCAGAAATTGTCGGTCCGGAGATCAAGTTCACCGTCTCTTGCCTGTGGGAAGGACCCGACTTCTGGGACTCCTTCTGCCTTTGTGAGCAGAATCTCTTTCTTTAGTCGAACAAAACTGTCACCTCCTATGGAGGACGAGTCTTCCCAGATGGGTGAAAGCCCCCAGGCCAGTAACTCAGCTTGCTGTACAGAAACCGAGGCACAAAACAGTGCCGTTGGACTCACCATTGACTCAGCTGATGCCCTAAGTGGACCACCGCCCTTGGCTTCCAACCTGTGTTATGAAGCTGAGAGTCCCGATGAAGCAGCCTTGGTGTACGCCGCCAGGGCTTACCACTGCACTTTACGGTCTCGGACCCCAGAGCAGGTCATGGTGGACTTCCCTGCTTTGGGCTCACTAACATTTCAACTCTTACACATCCTTCCCTTTGACTCGGTAAGGAAAAGAATGTCGGTCGTGGTCCGGCATCCTCTTTCCAAACAAGTCGTGGTGTATACAAAGGGTGCTGATTCTGTGATCATGGAGTTGCTGTCAGTGGCTTCCCCAGGTAGGTTTACACAGTTGCCATGGTGGTGATCAGAAGGGCTGAAAGCTCCCGAGTGTTTTTGTAAAGGATGTGAAGTCACACTGGAAAAGGGAAAATGCTGCTTCGGGTTGGATGGAAAGCGAGAAGCTCTGAAGGTGCAGGGACCATGGTTTGTTTACATCTGAAATCCATGTTAGCTGAGCCACGTTACCTGAAGGTGGGGTTTAAATGAGTCCACCAGACCCAAGATAAATGATAAATAGGTATTTATTAGGGAAGCACTTATACAGACAAGAGTAAATAACCACCGCGAGTCTTCCTGCTTCATAAGATGCAGTCTGTGCCCTTCCGATGCTCTCTACAACCCAAGAGAGCCTGAGCCAGCCCGTCCTCTACCTTATAATGCGTCACATCTGCAACTGAAACCATGCCCAAAGGGTGTGGCCACCACTACAAATTCACTGGACAAGGCAAGATGCCACTGCAGTTATGTATTTGGAAAAATACACATCATAATACATTTTTATGGGCTCCCAAGAGGCTTAATGTCATTCTGTGTGAAATGCAGGAAGAGCCTGTTGCCTAGCAAGGGAGGGGCGTCCAGTAGAGGATGGGTAGCTCTGATCCATCATGGCAGCAGTCGGTATCAAAGCTTTATCTCTTCCTCTGCCCAGGGGGAGAGAATCAAAGTGAAGAATTACGCTGCTGTCTTCCTTCCCTAGACACACAGTTGAGATTCAAAGCTAAAAAATGCCTTTTGTTTATTATGGATTAAACTGTCATTTTTCGCAGAAAAAAAGCATAATTGGGCAGGCTGACAGGAATAATGATTTTCTGTTCATACTTTCAGATGGAACAAATCTGGAAAAACACCAGATGGCAATAAGAGAGAAAACCCAGAGCCACCTGGATGAGTATGCCAAACGAGGGCTGCGCACTTTATGTATAGCTAAGAAGGTGAGAAAGCTGAGTGTACCCAGTCTTGCTGCATAGGTTTACCCATCATCACCGGGCATCCCATCTCAATCCCAATCCAGGTACCAGGGAGGTTCCCCAGACTAGGGTCCCTTTAGGTAGCCTCTCTTTCCTGTATGTGACTGGATTAGATTTCTGTCCGCAGAGATTTTTGACAGGTGCCTATGTTCTATTCTCAGAATTCTCACACACCTGAAACATCTCACACGTTACATACAAGTGGCCTTGTATGGAAACAGTTGTTTCCCTGGAAGTAAAAATACCAACATCTTACCATCCTCCCCCCCAGAACCTTGCGTATAGTGCCCCCCCCATTTGTTAGCATTAAATGTGATTAAAAAAATAATAACCAGCAAGCATCCATCATTTTTCTTGGTAGTTTTGTTTTGAAATCTTGGTAGTTTTTGTTTTGTCTTGTTTTCTCATGTGCCCATAAATTGATCTTTAAATCCAAGTAAACCTGCCAGGTTTTTCTCCCAGTTTTGATTATTTTTTTTTTTACCAAAAGCAGTCCTTGAGACATAGCCTGTCCTTTCTAAATGAAAGGTTACATAATAAGAAATAAGCAGAGCCCCAGAAGTGATTTGGGGATGATTATTCCCAAAACCCCTCACTGACTGCCCATGTTCTAGTTCCTAGCTATTGTGGGAGGCAAAAATGGGACTAGCTCTGTTGGGAACCTCCAAGGAGCCCAAGTCAACCACCAGCATGAGGGATCAAATGCCTCTGTGTTGCAATTGTAGGAGGAGTGGGGATTAAAGATTGAATCAACTCTGCTTTCTTTCTTGAATGTATTCCAGTAGATGTTATATTTTCCCAAATCAAATTTACTGGCAGCCAAAAATGAGTGTACAAGAGAAAAATTACCCCCTTCCACTCGATCCTGCTTTTAAGTCTTGAAATTCAGATTCATCCATTATGGTAACTAAAGACAGGAAGACACTGGTTTCTTCTCCAGGAGTTGCATTTAAGTTTTCTTAGAACCAAGACCTTCTTGTGTTTCCTATAGGGTGCTTCTCATTCTGCCTTTTCTAAAGCTTAACCATATAAATGAGTCTTCAAAGACCTCTGAGGTGTTGGCTGTGGCATCCCTCAAGCGAGCAGTCCTGAGGACATTTTCTTAACTGCATCATTAGAATGGTCTCAGATTTAACCACCAACTAGGAGGCCTGTTCCACCTTCTTGTGTCCAGGTTTAATTTACCAAAGACAATGCTTACAATTTCCCAAGATAACTAAGCAGTGATGCCTATCAGCAGGTTTGCATCCCCTTATCAGAGTTTGGGAATCTTGTGTCCATGTGGTGAAGGAGTATGGGTCAGATACAGGTGTGCCCACAGGGTGAAATTCAGAGATGAAGTTGTTGGCATGGAATTTTGATCCCAGTCAGTGCTGGCAGGATATTGCAAGGTTAAACGCCCTGCCTGCTAGTCTCTTTTCTTCCTCTCTCAGGTCATGAGCGACACTGAATATGCAGAGTGGCTGAGGAATCACTTTTTAGCTGAGACCAGCATTGACAACAGGGAAGAATTGCTGGTTGAATCTGCCATGAGACTAGAGAACAAACTCACATTACTTGGTAGGTAAATGGCGCTGTATTGCCTGAGCAGAGAGTTTTGTCTCTACATCCATTCTTCTTCAGTCCCCTTGATCTAGTAAGCTTATAGTGGTTCTCCCTACTGTGTCCACACTGATCTCTTCTTGTATTCCAATGCCTTCAGACCTGCGTTCCGCCTTGTATGGAACTAGAGGGCTCATTTGTGGTGGGAGCAGGGTGGGCATCCTTGGTAAGATGTAAAACCGAAACACCCAACACAGAACACACAGCCAGACAAACACCGTGATCTGAGAGAAGGGTTTTGCAAGTGTCTTGCAAGGAATTGGGTGGAACTTAAATATACATTGTCTTCTTAAATCTTTGTAACAAACAGGTTCTTATTTAGAAGAAATGGGCACAGAGTAGCACAGTGACCTGTTCATGCTCCAAGGCTTAGACATGAACTGAAAAGCAACAAACCCAAGTCTCCCCAAGCTTAGGGTTTGTGTGCTTTATTCTGTACCTGCAAGTGATCTTGAAGTCTATTTTTCTTCTGCTCTTGCCTGCTTCCAACCCAGATTGCACGATGGGTACCTCTTGTATCAGGTTGGCCCGTACCTGGGAATCACTGAAAGAACTATAAACAGTTCAAGGGCTGTTGGTCTTGTGTGTGACTTGACTCTGGAATGGCCGAAAGTCTCCTGAGTGACTCTGAGGGGCCGTCAAGTTCAGAAACCCTGCTTGGAGCATGGGGATGTAGATTCTTACAGAAGGACTGATGCACCAGAGAGCCGCCTCCGAGCTCTCTTCATCTATTTAGATGGAAACTTGATCTCAAGTAGAATAGTCGTGTCCCTTTTAAATACTAATAATTCTTTATCATGGTGTAAGAAGCTTAGATGTGTGCTTCCTAATCTGCATTTCCAAATGAATTTAAGAATCTGTGGGTTTAATGTCAAAACTCATTTGGCAGCAAAATCAAACTCGATTTGATGTAACACTACTTTTAGGATTAATACTCTAATTAGGATGAAAATTTGCAAGGTTTTCTATAGAAATATAAATATGTGTGGGTAACAGGTATAGAAAAATAGAAAAATATATAGCATATCACTGATTGGAAAAACATGAATTCCAAAGCACATCTGGCTGCATTCTGTTCCAGAATAGAACATTGTGGACTGACATTACAGAAAAGCATCATTTTTGGATGTTGTATCTTATAGCCAAGAGTATTCTTTAAGAGCCTGCCTTTACCCTGGGGAGTTTCATGGAACTGTAGGAGTCAGGGCAAGGCTATGCAAATAAGTGAATTGACTTTTGAGTTTCTAGAGATAAATACTAGCTGAAAGGAGAATGTGTCTGATAAACTCCACTATCGTTGGTGTTTCACGTCTACTCTGGAGCTTTCTTTGCATCTCTGGAAGCCACTGGGGCAGTTTATACAGTTCAGGACTGAATGGCCGGTGGATAGGAGTCAGTGAATGGCCAAATGACTCCAGGCTGCCTCTGGTTTCTAAGCCACCTGTTTTGCGGTTTGATTGATTCTCAGGTGCTACCGGCATTGAAGACCGTCTGCAGGAGGGAGTCCCCGAGTCTATAGAAGCCCTTCACAAAGCTGGCATCAAGATCTGGATGCTGACAGGGGACAAGCAGGAGACAGCTATCAACATAGCTTATGCATGCAAACTCCTGGAGCCAGATGACAAGCTCTTCATCCTCAACACACAGAGTAAAGTATGCATGATGATGTTGAGAGCCAAATACTCTCTTAACTCAAAGCCGGTAGGGTGTTAGGCGATTGATGTATGCAAGAAAAAAGAAAAGCTGATCTGGCCATCTGTAGTGCTTGATGTTATACTACCAAATGACCTTGCTCATATTTGGGAGGATGCCATAGTTTTTCTAAAAGCCTTATTCAGAGGCACCATGGATGAATACAAGAATTAGAAAAAAAACTTCCCTTTTTATTTTGGCACATCCCCCTCTCCCCCCCCCGTTCTCACTGTTAGACCAGGGATTTGACAAAACAGACAAAAATGAGGCTGTATACTAACTCTTGAGACAGGAACCTACCTCCTTTTCAAGTTGGAGGGAGGTAGTAATTTCTGTTAGTAACTAGAACGTTTTAAAAGTAGTCTCCCAGCACAATCCTACCCTCTAGTGGTAGATTTGGATAGTGCTCCGAAGAGCTCCTATCATTTGTAGAAATGAAAGGGATGGTGTGTTAAAGTAGAAGGAGTTGGAAAGATTTTGAACCACCCTTGTTTGTTTGTTTATCTGTCATTTAGGTTACCATTAGTCACTAGGATGGGTATTTGAGTAAGTTAAAAGGGCATTTCACAGAAGGCTGCCAGGAGAGAGATACACTCCGGCGTGTGTTCATACTGTTTACTTTGCTTGAAAGCACTGCTTTCCTCCTCTATTTCTGTGAAAGTCATGACTCTGTCACAGAACCCAGACTTTGTGATGTCTTCTGTAGCCACCTCATGGAATCAGGTTCTTCACAGGCTGGCTGTTTCACAGCTAAGCCTCCATTGACACTCAGCTCTGCTATGCTTTGAGGAAAGAGAGATGTCGTCATCCAACACAGACTGAGTTCTCTTTTATAGCAGACCCAGGGTCCATATTCATAACCAGCAACCACCCCCCAGTACCACCAAGGGGCAGGATGCTTTTGGTGACTCCGAATGGATGTGGCGTGAGTGGCTAGTGAAATATGTACTTGCTACTGACCAAGCATATGTCCTTGGGGAGTTACTTGTCCTGTGTGGCCTTTTCTACCTTGCCTGTCACAGACAGTAACACCCATGCCATGCCGTGGCTATGGGCAAAAATAAGGAAATGCCTCCCATCAGCATCAGCTTTGTGAAGGGCTTCTGTAGATGTGGGGGCTTCCTCCTGCAGATGCTCTCCTATGCCACCAGCGCCTAAAAGATGCTAAATGCCTATTGAGAGACTCTGAAGCACAGAATAAAAAAGACAATTAAATAGTGCTGATGAAATGCTGCTGCCAAGCCTGGCACCTGAGACTGATTCCTGGAACCAACCTAGTGGAAGGAGATAATCGATTCTGACTCCTGGAAGTTGCCATCTGACTGCCACACATACACCACGGAATGGGTGTACCCCTACACACACACACACACACACACACACACACACACACACACACCAAATCTTTAAACAAACAAATGAAAAATAAAATAATTATCTGCGGTTTTCACTCAGAGGTTTTTAGACATGAAAACCTTTTATCTCAAGATTATAATATGTGGTAATTCCTAAACACTCAAACAATGCACAAGCCTTTTAGAAAAGATGAGATATTAAAATTGTCCCTCAGAGAAAGCGCCAGATAGCACCAAGACTACATACATGGGAAGCCCACCATAATGTTGCATGCCTCATGGGCCTGGGACTCCTGCATCTGTCAGGGGAAGTGCTTCCAATGTCTGTGAGAATAGACGTCGTGATCTGTGTCATCATTAAAAGAGGGGCATAGCATCTCTCAGGTCAGGTGTGTCGATTACTCTTTATAATCACATCCATGTACGGATTCGGTAATGTCTAAATCTAATTAAGCATATTTGCCTCCTCAATCATTTCTCATTTCTTCATGCTAAAAACCCTTCCTTCTATACTGTGGTTTTTAGAAACACAGTATGCATTTTTATAATCTACAAAGATACTTTACTGATTGGTAAAAAAATCAGCGGGATTATAAAATTTATTTATAAATACAAAATGTACATCGGAAGACATTTAAGACTACCAGTCCAAAAAGTATTTAATGCATATTTAGTTAATTTTAGTTGCTACTAATAACTATTCATGTATGCAAATTTTCTATATAGATCAAAAGAAAACAGTGGACATAATTTAATTTCATTTTGTGAATATTGGTTCAGGCACTAGTTTGTAAATACATCCTTTTTCCAATGTCCATTTGAGTCCCTAAAAGCTAAAAAGGGCTCAGATCACAAAACTCATTCCCTCTTGTGGTGAGTTGCTTCTATAACATTCTTAGGAACCACTTGGCAGCCAATGACTTCTTAGATATCTGAAGTCATGTCTGTGAGGTAACTTCATAAATTTCTGTGAACTTCAAGACCAGAAAAACTAAGGCAAAGCTGTATCCACTTAAAAGTCTTCCTCACTTCCATTGTCAGAAGGTTTTTTTCTTTTATGTTCATGTTATACTCTCCTGACATTGTTTACTGTACTCACATACACAGGATTGCTCCTTCAGTTACGTTGTAGGCTTAGAAAGCTTTTCTCCTAATAACAATACAATATTCATAATCTTTAGTAGAAGCTCTAGAAGGCTTTCCAGGCATGATCTCATTTGACAGTTGTAACAAGCACACACTGACTCATTTTATAGGCAGAGGCACCAGAATATTTGGATTTATCAAGCGTGAAATAATAATTAGCATTGAATCTGCTCTCTTCTGCATGAAGATACGTCTATATTTTATAGTGATTTGCACACTATATTATATATGTACGCGACCACTTCCTACAATTGGTGGAGTTTTGTTTTATAGCGTTACCTGGCACCTGAATTAGTGAATAGTGAGTGCTGTTTCAAGGGAGCTTCGCAGTTTACTTCCCGTGACCACACACAATACATTGCTTCATGTGTGCTTCTCTCTCGTGGCACCCTATTTAGTATTTATTGCAGATTCATTCACATCATATGTGTGAGCGGCCTCACTCTAATTCAGGCCTGAAAAGAGAGTACTCAGCATACAGTTTCTCAGTACTGTCCGTCGTAGCTGTTGAGTGCTTAGGGACACGAACAACACTGTAATTAACAGCCATTTCAGAAAAGAAAATCACCAACACAAAGGAGAAAGATGAAAAAAATGTGTCACTAAACAATCTCAGCACTTGGGAGGCAGAAGCAGGCAGATCTCTTGAGTTTGAGGCTAGAGTCTTGTCTGCAAAGAAAGTTCTAAGGCAGTCAGAGCTACATAGAGAAACTCTTGTCTCAAAAATCCAAGCAAATAATAGTAATAGTAATAATAATAATGAATTAATTTTCTCAGCTTTGGCTGAGAGGGCATGCATCACATAACCCAAATGTCACTCTTTTCTTGGCAGTATATGACTTCAAAAGTCTGAGAGTATGGATTGAAAATAAATGATAGCAAGTAATCTGAACTCACAAACTTGGAATTCATGAACAGTGAAGGACGACTGTATGTATATGTTCTTGTGTATGTGTGTGTGTGTGCATGGATGCGAGAGTGTACATGTGTGTGCATATGTGTGTATATGTGTATACATGTAAGTATAAATACTGCTAAAAAACTAAATACTCATGGATTAAATACCTATGTGTAATAACCATAAAGCGACAGATGGTTCACTGTTACATTATAAAGAATATCTATCTAGACTGTAAACTTTACCATACAATATTAACGCTACAAAGACTGTTTTATGTCATGATAGTTATATAATGTTCCACTAAAACACCACCTCATACGGAATTTCATACTGATTTTCAAAGACTACCAAGTACGCTGATTTCTAAATTATGCCACATTAATTTCACCACACTAAAACACATTTGTACAAATAGTTTTTACTGTTACAATTTTGGTCTATATGAGTTCAGATTTGTTCAAAGGTTAAGGCAGTTGGGTAACTCCACTGTCTACTTTGTGGCACTGTAATACAATCTGTGAGGCTGAGTATTGTATCAAAGGTAATAGGTTTATTTAGCCCATAGTTTGAAAGTGCACAAGCATAGTGCCAGCCACAGCTTCTGGCGGGTGTCCCATGGTGGAGAGCATTACATGGGGACGCGTACACAGATGGTGAGTGGGAGAAAAGTTCACATGGGGGACAGGAAGCAAGAGAGTAAGGAGAGACCAGGCCAGCTCCTTTCCCTATCTGTTTTTGCAGGAACTAGGCTGTTCCTAGTACACTAACCCATAGTGAAAGACCAGCTCGAATTTCTTCACGTGGGTGGTCATGACCATCCCCAGGGCCCCACCTTGTAAAGGCCCCAGCACTGTTTAAACTACAGTCATGATGATTATATATAATATGGTTGTTAAGTCTTCGTTGCATCATGCCTTTGTATCTGTTCCTATTTTTTCTTTGATCCTTGCATTTTACTGTGAGTTAACTTTGGTATGATGGGGAAACCCACAGAATCAGCTGACCCGAACTAGTGAGACATCACTGACTCAGTCTGACAAATGAAGAGTAGGGTCCCAAAAGCCAGCAGAAGAGTCAGAGACAGTCCCCAATTCCCTTGTTAGGAGTCCCACAAAAAGACCAGGCTACACAACCGTAACATATGTACAGAGTGGAGCACTGGGAGTCCTGACGAAGAGGGGGAGGAAGGATTGGAGGTCCCAGAGGGATCAAGGACACCACAAGAAAACCCACAGGATCAACTAACCTGGGCTCATGCGGACCCACAGAGACTGGACCACCAGCCAGGGAGCCTGCATGGGACTGATGCAGTGGAATTTTCCATCCTGGCCAGACATCTTGGCTGTAGAATTGCGTTTAAGGTGCTTCTTTCTTCCTACCTGGCCTCACATCTACAGAGGCTCCTGGAAGAGCTGCAAAATGAAGACGTTACAAAGTGGGCTCCTTGAAAGTAACCCACAGTTCACTACCCTAGATGGCCTTCATCCAGCAGTCACTAAAGAAAGAGAATGAAAAATTGAGCCAACTCTTCAGTGGCGCCCCGAGGTTAAATGTCTCTGCCTCTTTGTTCAAGGGTGCCTGTGAGATGCTGATGAGCGCAATTCTGGACGAACTGCAGAAGAGAACTCAGGCCTCTCCCGAGCCGGCATCACTAAGAAAGGACTTCTGTCAGTCTCCTGACCGCCAGGGCTCTGGACGTGCTGGGCTCATTATCACAGGGAAAACCCTGGAGTTTGCCCTGCAGGAGAGTCTGCAAAGGCAGTTCCTGGAGCTGACTGCATGGTGCCAAGCTGTGGTCTGCTGCCGAGCCACGCCCCTGCAAAAAAGTGAGGTGGTGAAATTGGTTCGGAACCATCTCCACGTGATGACCCTGGCCATTGGTGAGCGGAGGTGGGGGGTGGGCACCCTGCCCGGCATTCTCTCTTCTATGACCTTTGCCTGTCCTTCCTTCAGTCTAACCTTATAATTCTGTGTTTCCTTTTCCCGCTGGATTTACTTTGCTCCCCTCCGCTTTCTGTCTGTAGTTTCACTCCCTTCCAGCTTCTCTACCTGCCTGCTGTGAACCTGGTGTTAGGGGAAGAACACACAGAACAGTATGATAAAATTCTTTGGACCCCAGATCAACTTGGTTAGCTAGAGTTAAATACTGAATCGGGGAACTGAAAAACCTCAGGATTTCTACCTTTACGAAAGTTAAATTTAGGAATACAAAAAAAAATGTATTCATTCAGTGAGTGTTTTTGAGTGGCATTTCCGTACATGGGTTCCCCCGTCCTAAGTAATAAAACAGTATCTATAACTGATACCTTACTTATAGAGCTTACATCTAGTAGGAAGCTGCACAGCAGCACAAGTGGACAACTAAATGAGAATGTGGGAAATATCAGTTAACAAACACTGCTGAAAAAAATAGGAATAAGATTTGCCATTTTAAGTTAGGTTCCCAGAGTAGAACCATCTGCTTGGGTTGTCTGTGAGGAAAGACATAAAGGAAGTGGCAGAGGATCCGCTGGGGATCAGGGTTAAACATACCTAGCAGGCAGCACAGCAAAGGAAAAGCCAAAAGATGGTATGTGTCACTCATGGCCAAAGCGGATTGGGAGTGTTGTCTACAGCTGCATGAGTGGCAGAGAGGTGGGTGTGGCCAGGTCACATAGAGTCTGAAAATGGGAGCGAGTGAGGGAGCCAGGGGTAATGTTTGTCTGAGGTGGGATCTGCCTTGTATTTAGAAGAATCGCATCATCGTCCTCTGGGTGAGAACAGACATGTTGCAAGGACATAAATGAGGAAAATATTTGGGAGGCTGTTACGGTAATTCAGACAAGAGACGGTGGCAGCTTGGTCCCGGATAGGAGCAGAGACGATAGAGAAGCTTTGAAGACAGAGCCGCTGATATTTGCTGATGAATAGGATATGTGCCATGACAGGAAGCGATGCTGAAGGGATACCAGTGTCTTGAGGGGCAGGGTCTTAAACTTACTTAGCTTGAAAAGTCTTTCAGATGCCTTGGCAGTATTATCAAGTATCCAGCTGGAATAAAAATCTGTAACTTAGCAAGGAAGACTTGGTCCAACATAAAAATTAGTGAATTGCAGGTCCAGTGAGTGTTAAAGGTTTGGCATTCTAAGACCACCAAATGATGAGTCTCAAAGGAGAGGGAACATGCCATGGAATTCTGCTATGTATGAGTGTTTAGATGCTATGCGGTAGAATTTGGTCCCACTATTCTGTTTATACATGGAAATGAATGAATGACTCAGATCCCTGGATTAAACCTGAAGCCAAGCTCTTGCACTTTATTAATTAAACCAAGTGTCCATCTTTACCAATCATTGAAGGTAGGGAAGACAAGATGCTGACCTCCAGGCCTCATACAGTTTCCCATCCATAAATTCACACTAGCAAACCACGTGGGCTGAGAGTCAGCGGCCCTTTTCGGACAACACATGCTCATTACGTGAAGGAGCCTTAATATCCAGAAGAGAATTCTAGTGTTGCAGTGACTCTGGACACCAATGTAAAACCGCATGGTAGAGAGGGTGGGGCACACTGGGTGGCTCTGGAGCCTAGTGGGGCAGCTGACTCAAAGGGAACATGAGAAGGATTTTTCTAGAGAAAATGACATGTAAACCAAGCCTGGGTGAATCAGCAAGGTGGGAGTGATAGACACAATGTTACAGAAGCAGAGAAATGACCTGTGTAGCAGCCAGAAAGAGCAGGACGTATCTAGAAAATTGAAAGTAGAATGTTGACATGAAAAGGGGATAGGCCAGTCTAAGATGGTCTCACAGTCAACTTGGATAGAGTTCAACTTAGCACAAGTTAGAGTTATTTGGGAAGAAGATTCTTGATTGAGAAAATGTGTCCCTAAGATTTGCCTGGAGGCAAGTCCTATAGGTCATTTTCCCAACTAGTGATTGATTTGGAAGGGTCCAGCCACCCCTGGGAAATAAGTCCTAGGGTGTATAAGAAAGCAGGCCAAGCGAGCTAGGAAGAGAAAGCCAGTAAGCAGTGCTCATCCATGCCTTCTGTATCAGTTCCTGCCTAGGTTCCTGCCTCAAGTTCTTGCTCTGACTTCCCTCAGTCATGAATTACAATTTGTGAGGTAATAGAAGCTCTTCCCTCCCCCAGTTGCTCTTGATCATGGTGTTTTATCACAGCCTAGAATCCTAAGATACGCAACATGAAGGATTTAAAGACAGCATTGAGTTTGGAATTTTTCCTGATGGCGGTGAGATGCTACGTTTAATTCTGCTTAATTAGTTTCCAAGTAACTCTGGAAAATGGGATAGATCCCAAAGGACAAGTGTGTTCTCTTGAATAGTCGCTTGATTTGCAGTTCGCTCCTCACACGTGTCTTGTGTTTTCTTCTGCCTCATGAAGGTGATGGCGCTAATGATGTTAGCATGATCCAAGTGGCCGACATTGGGATAGGTGTCTCAGGTCAAGAAGGCATGCAGGTGAGTACATGCACACCTAACTACCATGACCATCTGCCTACTACTGATAAAACCATATTGGGACAGTAGGGCTGTGGGGTAAGGAGTGAGAGAGGCTAGACCTTCATCCACCATTGGTCACTTGTAAATAGTGTGTGGTCCTGGCTACTTCTGCTGTGTTCATGTGTTCTGTTTTGTAAAAGCTTATACACATAATAAAATTTCATTTTGTAGGCATGTGATAGCATTGTTAGATTCTCCCCCCCTAAAAACCCAAAACATCTACTATGGTTTGAATACATGACATGAAGAATATAGAGGACGGGGAAGGAAGAGAATGGAAAGGAGACATGAGAGAATGAGAATGAGGAAGGTGTGACTATGTGTGTGTGTCTCTCTCTATGTGTGTGTATGTATATGTATTTTATGTATATATGTATTTTATGTATATACATGTATGTTTGCATGTGTATATGTATGCATGTATGTGTGTATATGTGTATGTGTATATAAGTATGTGTATGTGTTTGCATGTGTGTATGTATGAATGTATGTGTGTATGTATGCATGTATGTGTGTATATGTGTATGTGTATATATGTATGTGTTTGCATGTGTGTATGTATGCATGTATGTGTGTAAATATGTATTGTGTATGTATGTTTATATAAGTATGTATGCATGTTTGTGTGTATGCATGTATGTGTATATGTGTATGTATGTATGTGTATATATGTATATGTGTATGTGTTTGCATGTATGTGTGTATATATGCTGTGTGTATGTATGTGTGTATGCATTTATGTGTGTATATATGTGTGTATGTATGTGTTTGCATGTATGTGTGTATGTATGCTGTATGTATGTATGTGTGTATGCATTTATGTGTATATATGTGTGTGTATGTATGCTGTATGTATGTATGTGTGTATGTATGTGTATATATGTGTGTGTGTGTATGTGTATATGTGTATGTGTGTATGTATGTGTATATATGTATGTGTGTATGTGTATATATGTATATGTGTATGTGTTTGCATGTATGTGTGTATGTATTCTGTGTGTATATATACATGTATGTGTGTGTATATGTATGTGTATGCATGTGTATATGTATAGTCTCTCTTTCCAGAGCTACTTGAGAGGTAAGTTAGCTGATTTGGGTTAACTGATGGTCAGGCTATGTTTGCTAGGCTTGCTTGTTCTAGCAAGATCCATTGCTCAGGATCGTCTTTTCTCCCTGCTTCCTCTGCAGGCCGTGATGGCCAGTGACTTTGCCATCTCTCAGTTCAGGCATCTCAGCAAGCTCCTTCTTGTGCATGGGCACTGGTGTTACGCACGACTCTCCAACATGATTCTCTATTTTTTCTACAAGAATGTGGTATGTACCTGCTGAGAAATTTGCCACTGCCTCTCCAGTCCAACTTCTACTCTTATTGCCTCAGGGATGACTGAATGTGTTCAAATTACAGCGGGAAACTGTTCTCATGTCCTTCCAGAGGTAATCGGGAAACGTGTGTGTTTGAACTGTTGACAACAAATTGCTAGGCCTGTCCCTCTGCTGGCACCCTCTGCTCCCTGCGCATTTGCATTGCATTAAGTCCTGACTGGTTCATTTAAAACCTAGTTTTTGACCTTCTATAAACAGATAGTGACAAGTTGTCAGTAGAAAATGAAAAGTTTTGCTCCTGTGGAGCTGGGGATGGCAAATAAGTTAATAAATGAGTAAATAAATAAATCTGCTGTTCCTAATAATGGCTCCTCTACCGCATCTAGAATGGATAGAGATGGAAACCCAACTGCCAAGATTTTCTACCCAGATCATAAAAGTCTATTTATGCTTAGTAGATATTTTGTGATCCTGGAACTGTGGTGTGATTGTTGCTTGGAATTATCAAAAATTGCTTGGAAATCCTGGTGTCTAATCTTGTTTCATTTTTAAAAGATTTATTTATTACATATACAGTGTTCTGCCTACAGACCAGAAGATAGCACCAGATTGAATTGTAAATGGTTGTGAGCCACCATGCGGTTGCTGGAAAATGAACTCAGGACCCCTAGAAAAGCAGTCAGTGCTCTTAACCTCTAAGCCATCTCTCCAGTCCCTTAATCTTTAAATTACACATACCTCCCTCTCTCTCTTCCTCTCTCCCTCCCTCTCTTTCTCTCTCTCTCTTTCCCCCTCCCTCCTTCTTTCCTTCCTTCCTTCTTTTTCTTTTATTCTATATTTTTTTTCAGGCAGTGTCTTGCTGTGAAGCCCTGGATGGCCTAGAATTCACTATGCAGTCCATGCTCACCTCAAATTTGCAATAATCTTCCTACTTCCACATCCTAAGTGCTATGATTATAGACATATAGCAGAATGCTGGACTTCAGTTTTCTTTCTCATGCTGACTTAGGCTGACTCATTTTTCTAGATGGTCTTTAGGCTGCACTTATTCTTGGTCTTTAAAAGCATAGCATGTTAGCTGGGGACATACATTGGCTCACTCTATTCAAATACCATCTTTAGGGAAAATGCATTTATCCTCTTTAGGATATACCAGTTTAGATCTGTGTTTGTGAGTCAGGGTGGGTTTTTAGAAAGCTCTTGATTCTTTTCTAAATCAAAGTAGCACATTTATTCAAAATAGATACCTTACAAAAATATTTGAAATACCAAAAGTCTTTACCTGGAAAAATTTGTGGCTTGTCATGGGATGTTAGTCTATGGCTTTTAGAAAGGCTTTTAGAAAGACTTTTAGACTCTCCCAAGGGTTTCCCCTGACAGTATCTTTGCATTTTCTACTTTTGTCATTATTGTGGTGCAAGCCATCCTTACTTCCTGTTTTTAACCCTTATTAAACCCAAGGTTTGAGAAACACAAATATTAGGAAGAGACACCATAGCTCTTAGAGATGGAGGGCACTTTAGTTAGAAGGCAGGACATTCCATGGGGAAGGACTACTTTCTGCTGTCTATCTACAGATGGACACTTACACTATAGATTTAATGTCTACCTTTTACTTACCTAGCCAAACGGTAATTATGTTGTAAGTTATAAGTCACAGAGATCTGAGAGAGGACCATGTTAAATGACTTATTAATGAATACTATGGGCTCACACTCCAGAGTATTTGCTCCAAACTACATGTATCCAAACTGGATAGATTTGTAGGAACTGACCTTAATGCACTAGGTAGAATTTTTTTTCTGAGTTTTATGGCGCTGTGTTAAGGTATTATGGTGCATCTATGGTGCTAATAACAGCAATATCTTGCTCTTTGGTGGTCTGAGGTTGTAGTTCAGTCAGAAGAATACTTGTGTAGCATAGACAAAGCCCTATGTTGGATTCCCATCACTGCATAAACCGCCTGGTGGTAGTGCATGTCTGTATCTTCACACCCTTAGTGGAGAGGCTGGAGGTCCAGAACACTGAGGTCAGGTTGGGGAGATGGCTCAGTCGGTAAGAGCTGGATGGAGGAGATAACCCGAGTTCACATCCACAGAACTCACATTAAAAAGCTGGGCTTGCTCATGTACTCCTGTCACCATAGTGCTGTTGTGGGTGGAGTCTCATCGCTGGGCCAACTGATTGCCAGCATAGCTCCAGGTCCAGGAGAGACCCTGTCTCAAAGGAGTGAGGTGGAATGTGAAACAGCAAGATACTGATGCCCTCCCCTGGTCTCCACTTCACACAGTGTGTGCACATACACCATACCTACACACGACACACACACACACACAACATACAAACACACATTCACACACGTGCACACGTGCTCGCACACCCAACAAAGTAAAAGAAGTCTAAAGTCATCTTTGGCTAAAATTGGATGGTTTCTTGGGAAACCTGGGGAGGTGGCTGTCCTAGATGGAATTGGAGGGCAGCCTGAGCTGTAGACCCTCCAATAATATAATAGTGATGATGATGGTGGTGATAATAATAATGATAACTTATTTTTGATGGTTAGTCCTAAGGTAATATAATTGTGATTGTACATAAGATTAAACCAGAGTTTGAGAGGTTCAGAAAGTGAGTCAAAAGCAAACATCCCTTGAAATAAGAAACAACCCCCAGGACCTCAGTCCAGTGCTCATCCCTTTCCCCTGCTTGAAAACAATGGGGTTTTGCTGCAGTGGACAAGGTAACGATGCGGGCCCAGGGGAAAGACTGACCTCCAGGGTTGCCGCCTCCCTACGTCTTCCAAGGGACTATGCAGTTTTAGCACGAGAATCCCATGCTTTGGGACTCTCTCAGCATCAGGATAACTGGATGCTGGCCACTCAGTTGACACCATTCCAGTTAAGCACTGAGAAATAACTGGGCAGGAAGGTGGAAAGACAAATGTGTGGTGTGCCTTCTCTCAGCCAGACACTCTGTTCTCTTTATCTAATGCAAAAACATCCTCAAATAAGCAGCTGGGTAGCTTTATGCAAGTTTCTTCTTCTCTTCGGGTCTCAGTGGCATAGTTTATTTAGCCTGCAATAATGAAGTACCACAGTAATAGCAATGGAAACTTTCAGCAGTCTGAGAGCCAGAGGTCTGAAATCAGGGATTGGGTGTTGGGCTTTGGTAATGGTCCTGTCTGGCTACATCCTTTCTGGGGAGATGAAAGCCTTCAGAGGTGCATTTTATAGAAATGTTAATCTCATTCACACGGACTCTAGCATGGTGACCTAAATACTTTACCATCGGACTTCCCCTCCTAACCTCATCACGCTAGAGACTAAGATTTGCATGTAGGTATTCTGAAGGAACAAGAGTTCATCATCTGTAAAATAGCAGCAACAGTAATTCCCAAGTTGTTATGAAGATTTAATGAATTCTTTGTAAATTATTTAGAATAGTACCAGCGCCACATAGTAATGGTGTGAGGATGTGTATAATTTTCTCAGACACTCACTAAAAGGAAAACAGAATTAAAGAACTCCATGGTAAGGTATGTTCTTCATCTGCGGTTGACAGAGCTGAAGACAGGCAGCTCTGAAGGGACAGGACTCAGACATGCAGTGTGGGTTGTGTTCTGAGCGCGCACTGATGTCTCTAAGCTCTGAACATCTTTCTTTGCATCTCCAGGCCTACGTGAACCTCCTCTTCTGGTACCAGTTCTTCTGTGGGTTTTCAGGCACATCTATGACTAACTGTTGGGTTCTGATCTTCTTCAACCTCCTCTTCACATCTGTGCCCCCCATCATTTATGGCGTGTTGGAGAAAGACGTATCTGCGGAGACCCTCCTGCAGCTCCCTGAACTTTACCAGAGTGGTCAGCACTCGGAGGTGAGTGTCCAACAGAAGCGTGTCAGCAGATGCACAGCATGGAGAAAGCTAGCGCGTTTCCAGTCAACCAGGCCCACATAGTGCAGGATCATCAGGACAATTTAGCATGCCCAGTTTCAATACTCTATGATGGTGGTTCTTAACCTTCCTGATGTCAGGACCCTTTTATACACACAGTTCGTCATGTTGTGGTGACCCCCAACCATAAAATGATGTCATTACTACTTCATAACTGTAATTTTGCTGCTGCTATGATTTGCAATGTAAATATCTGATATGCAAGATATCTGATATGCAACTCCCCAAAGGGGTCACAACCCATAGGTTGAGAACCACTGCTCTCTACTCCCCTGACAGATGTTAAGTCAGCGGCCTGAGGTAACAAGGTAAATCTTTAATAGTGTTTTATGGACTTATCAGAAGAAATTCACAGTTTGCTACCTTGCTGATGGCAGCTGACATTTGTTAAAGCCCACCCACAGCAAACCTGTTATGCAAACGTTCCCTGCCTCATTTATCTTCACTCTTTTTGAGACAGAATCTAGTGTTTTTCCCATTCCAGAATAAGGACTCTGAACCATAGATGTATTAAGTAATTTCCCCCAAACTTGCAAAGTTAATAAATGATAAAACAGGTTGTGAAACCAGCTAAGTCTGTTTCCCAAGCCCCAGGTAATTTTCAGTGTCCAGTGTCATACAGGACAGAAGTGATCTCAGTGACTTCCGTCTCCACTCCACCTATCTCTGGGTCCTGGTTCAGCACTGCCTCCTCTCATGCTTCCCTGTTTCTGCTGCTCCGTTATTGTCTCTACCCTAGAGGATTGTGGGTAGTAGGCAGGGTAGCTATCACCTGGGGTGGCTGTCTAAATACTCTTGTTTCTAACTTATCTTTCGAAAGATTAATAATGGCCAACTTGGATGTATCAGGAAATTTACATGATGGAAGACACTGTTCTAAGATGACACATAATCTAACACCCCACAAAGGTGGGTCTGCCATTTTCTCTGCTTTCTAGGTGACACGAGTCAAGCTCAAGGAGTTGCAGTTAGTAGCTGCTCTTGGTGTTGAGCTAGTGAGTGTTGCAGTTAATCCCGACATCCAGGCCCAAGGTGTGGCTTTGTGCCGTGTGGCAGGAAGAGCTCTACTCTGATGGTCACTTTAGTCCTCGGGCTTTCCCACTATGGTGTTTAGGGCAGAATGTAAAGTGTTATTGTAGGAGCATTGTGCAGCTACCAACAGAGGAGGGCAAGGAGCCTTAGACACCTACGTGTGGCAAAGCTCAGTCAGCAGCCTCAAGTGGTCACGTGTTCCAGCATCGAGAAGACGGATCCTCAGAGTTCTCCCATTTGTAAAGGACAAAGGAAAAAAAAAGGAAGGAAGGAAGGAAGGGGGGAAGGGTAAAGCAAAAAGACAGAGAAAAAAAGAAATAGCCCAAGCTAACCCAATAAAAAAGAGAAATGTATTAACACATGTAGGAGTGGGAGCAGCATATTTTCCTCTAAGCAGTTATAAATGTCTGGCTTCAATGTTTTAGCCAGGATCTTGTCATTCGCCTTCTCTGGTACTTATCACCAAAGCTGGAAATGTCTTCTTGTTGCCCAGTTCTGGGGTGGGTGTCATTCCCAGGGACACAGCTGAAACAGGTGGGCTGGTGGGTTGGGCAGAGCGGGGTGAGATTAGCCACCTGAAATCTGTGTGCTGGTCCCCAGGGCTGCCTTGAGGCCACTGACACAGATGAGCGTGGGTTGGGAGTAATGGAGTGTTTACATTCTGGTTCTCTGCTGCGTGACCTTGCTGAGTTCTTTATCTTGCCCTTGCTTCGGCTTGTTTACTTTCTGCAAATGGGGTAGGACTAAGGAAGATGACACATTAGCGTTTCCAGCCACATTAAGGACTCAGTATTCTTATTTTGGAAGCATAAATTTGATGACAGAGATTTTAAATGATGCTCTTATTTTCTTAAACTTTATTTTGGCTTGAAGAGCATTTCTGAATAGGCGGATGTTTCCGTGTCCACACCTAACAGACACAGCCAACAAAGCGGAGTCAAGTCACACATTGAGCTGGCAGAAGGAAGAGATCTGCATAAGTCTTTACTGGTGCACAGTCCACTCAAACCAAGCAGCACATGAGCTTCCTCAAAGTCATGCTGGACTGTATGGTAGGAGCTACTGAACATAGCCCTGGACCCTGGACCTCAGACCCCAGTTAAGTTCCATGTCCACTGGAAAAGGAGTAGAGAGGAGGCTTTCAGTGTTACAGGGGTGTCTTAAAGGCCAGTTTGTATGGACTAAGACTAAGTCAGTCTTGTTCTCGGGAGAATTGAGCTCCTTGCTTTCAGTCTTGAATCCTGCGGTCATTTCTTTGGGCACAATGTTCTGTCGTGCTAACCAGTTTGATGAAGCACAATCTGCATCACTGGCACATGGGGAAATTCTGTTGAATTCCCCTTCCAGGATCTGTCCTTTCTTTGAACTTGTCCTCCAAGGAAGTTCTGTGTCATGTGTGGGTCACGCCCCCTCAGCATCCCTCTCCTCCAGGGGATATGAACCTGGAAGGGCACAGTCAAGAGGATTTCCTTCCCAACAGCAGTCGCTCTTCTCCACCGCTCATCATGGCGGACTTTGCTTCAAGTCTGAATTTTCCCTTTAGCTTCATGAGATTCTGCAGCTTACCCCCAGCCTCCTGTTTATCGTCTCCTTAACCTTTCCACTCTTTACTTCTGGAAGTCATCTTCATGTGGCTTCACTGTCGGTTTCTTGTTCAACCCTAGAAGTGTGACGTTGTGTTTTAACTTACTTTCAAGTCACTCTGGTCCAGTGTCTCAGAAATGTTTTCTTCTACTGTTGGACCATGGCACTGATGGGATTTTTGTGAACACTTGGGTGATGAAAGACCCAGAATGTCCCTATCATTTCCAGTAAAGAAATAGTGAAAGAAGATGCAGGGATTATAAACTGGACACATGAATCTTTGTTTTTGGATGTTACAGAAGACGAAGACAGGGAATGAGAACTATATTATATAAATGCTCAAAGTGTAGTCCTTTGAAAAATAGGAGAAGGTATATGGGTCATGTGTATATTTATAAAGTTTTATTCTTTAGGGGACAATAAGATTTCCCAAGTGTATTTCTGTCTCTATTTACGTTTGGGAAAAAAGCTAAGAAGGGCATGTTAAGAAATGACAGTATCAGGAATATGGTATTTGTAATTCCTTTCTTGCCTGTCGAAGAAGCAATCGTCTTCCTTTCTACCAGGTCTGAGCGCATCCGTGGAATCCCTCTGCACACATGTCAGGGCTGGCGCTGGAGTGAGAACCCATTTTCAGTTGCTTGGCTGCTGTCTCCCTGGTCTTCCTCTTTCTAGTAGCCTGGGATAGAAAACAGCGACATTAATAAAGAATAGCTGGCTAACCTTATCAATAGTTCTTGAGTGCCTGCTTTGTGCGAAGTATTGTTTTAGTCACTTGAATACAGGAGCCTGAGTTTCAGTCTGAACCTTGCAATTTGAGAACCAAAGTATGCTTAGCATTTTTTTTTCTGATAGGAGAAACTTTCTATGATGCCATGCTAGTAAATGACAGGATGGAGATATCTTCGGGTTAGTCCGATGTGCCTCTGAGAAGAGGATATTGGGGATTTAGAAAATTAGAACCAGTCATGTGGGAGGCCTAAGAAAGAACTCCCAGCAGGGGAGATAGCCTGGAGGAAATGAGACTTAGCTGTTTCCATGCTGTGGGATGATAATGAAAACACAACCAGGGGGAAGATCGAATTGGACCTGATATGCCACAGAAAGGAACTTCAATTATATTGGAAATGCAGTAGGAATCATTGAAGTGACAAGAATGAGGCAAGTTGATCAATTAGGAAGATATCATGAACTAACTCACATTTTTAGAAAAATCTAGTGGCTGGTACTGTGTACTGGATATATATGTATATGATGTATATATGTATACATGTACACATGTATATATGTATATGTGTATGTATACATGCATGTAGGTATGCACACACTGCATATATACATATATCATTTTTATTTATTCTTTGAAGAGTCTGTACATTTACACAATGTATTTTTATTATATCCCCCCCATCATTATATCACTTCAGCTTCCCCTGGTGCTCCCACCTGTTTCCCACCCAACATCATGTTTTCCATTTTTCTCTTCTGCCCCTGTGCACATGGGTGTGATGCTATCTATAGAAGCTCTGTCCTCAAAGCAGAGCGACTTCCTCAGCAGCCCTCTACTGTCAATAGCTCCCCTACTAGGGCTGGAGCCTCAGCGCCCCTCCCCCTGTCTGATCTTCGATGGACTTGATATTATGAATGGACTTACAGTTGCTGTGAGGCGATGCATCCGACAGCCATGTCAGCATTTGCCAGCCCCCCTTAACCTCACTCTTAAAATCTTTCTACCCACTCTACTGAGATGTTCCCTAAGCCTTCCATGGGATAGATAATTCATCCACAGCTGAGCACTCGGGCTTACTTATGCTTGGCAATTAGATCAATTAAGATTTTTCTGCATTAGCTCTTAACACTGCCTCTGACCAAACTTGAGAGCAGCACGCATTTGTAGGTATAAACATAAATGTTTAGAATGCAGTTTGACAGCATGAATATTCAGCGTAACAACAGTAGGTTTCCAGCTAGAGCCTATGATCTCCCAGGTTTACAGTGCCAAGCACGGAATACCTCCTCTGGAGCACACAGGGAATACACAGTGAACACTTTGTTGCAAGTTGGTGTTGGAACATGCGCTGTCCGTGCTGGCTAAGATCCTTGATTTCTTTTCTCAGAAGCCTGCATAGCACCTTCTGGCACTGTGTACTATAGACTAACCCTGGTCAGTCAAACTTCTCAACAGCTGGGCCAGCCACTGGGCCCGAGTCTGAGCACATAAGATGACTGGAGCAGATTTTATGTTCAGTTGTAACATATGGGAAGATGGAGTCGAGGGTTACAAAGGAAAGCATAAAGGCAGTTGAGATAGCTATCCAGCCATTCAGAGACGATCTGATGGCAATGCTCAGAGGCGGGCATGGGAATAGTGTAAGCAAAGTTAAGTGATGAATTTGCATAGGCTTTTGAATAGTGCTTTCTAATCGATGAGTGTCAGGTATTTACTAGATCCAAGAGGACTTAGGGATGCAGCTCTGCGCAGAGTACATATTTGACATGTGTGCTCCCATAGTTCAGTCAGTCCCAAGCAGAAGCAGCATGCACACACACACACAAACACACACACACACACAGTACACACATGCACAAACATGCATGAGTACATACATTTAATCCATGATAAAGTAAATTTAATATAATTACATTATTTTCTCCTTCCTGTTCCTCCTTCCAGCTTCTCACATTCCGCCCCCCTCTCCTCTCAAAATCAGGGCATCTTTTTCCTTAGTTGCTATTTTTACATATATATATATATGTATATATATATACATGTGTGTGTGTATGCACAGTCATATATGCACTTACATATCTTATCCAAGTCAAAATGACTAAGAGCAACAAAACAGCTGACAACAGATGCTGGAGATGTTTCGAGGAGAAAAGGAGCCTTCAGCCACTGTTTATGGGATTGCTCCAGCCACTCTCGAAATCCGTGTGAAAAACTCTTAAAAAGCTCAAAATAAAGTTAGATATTTTTAAATGGATCAAGTAAGTTGAGCGTAAGTTCCTTTGGCTTGTTGCTTTTCCTGCCACACTCAGCAGTGAGCTTGTCTTAGCTCGCTTGCCTTTGCTCACTGCCCTCACCCTTCCTCCGCGCGCTAGGAGATGGAGAGTGAAGGACCAGAGGGTTGCTATGTTGCCCTGACCCTTACTGATTTTACTCCTCTCCAATATGTGTTTCATTTCCAGGCGTACTCACCTCTCACCTTCTGGATCACCTTGTTGGATGCCTTCTATCAAAGTCTAGTCTGCTTTTTTGTGCCTTACTTTGTAAGTCTCTGTTCACATATTTTCCTCGAATGAGATACTGATGCTACTGTGTACTGTGTTTCCCACCGACTTAGTTGACTGATGTATAAACCCTCACAATATGTTAGGTAATGGATTCAATGAAGTACCTAGTTGATTGCTCTTGGATGTCTTGTTAACTCTAAACAGTCTACTACTAAGTTTTTCCAGTGCCTTAAATAAAATTTAAATTCTGGCTATATAAATAATTAGCCAAAAATCATTGAACAGTTTCAGAAAGAGAAGAGCTTTTAGTAGTGAATACTGGACTAATTCTATCAGGCTAAGGCTCAGAGTATTAAATTTAAGTACCTCTAAGAAGTATCTTCAGAACTTAATAAAAACCACATTTTGCAGACAGGAAGAAACGAACTAAGCAAAGAATGTGTAAAAGCTCCTTTTAAAATTTTAGACTAGCACCAAGCACAGTAGAACCAGTGCAGCTGTCGGCACCTTGTTCATTCCATGGTAGATGTGTGTGATCACGGACTGTGTTGACAGAGCACACACAGAGTAAAGGATGGTACTCACTAGGCTGACAAATTTCTGCGATGTGCTCAAACGAAATCACTTGAATTAGCTCCTCTGAATACTCTGGCTATATTGTTCTGCAAGAGGGAGTTAGGCAGAGCAGCTGGAAGGATACTGCGAGAGCAGAGAACTGCATCATTTGAGAGCTGGCGTAAGGACTTGAAGATGCATAGGTGAGAGGGAGGGCGTATTTAACTGGAGGTATCACCTTAGGGTCGTTACAACTGCTGCTTCAATGAAGTCTTAAGTGGAACATATTCGATGTGTCAGCGCGCCATTAGGAGCTGGAACTATGAGCCAAAGATTCCAGAAAGACCACTGATGATTCAGAATAAGAGGGATTCCACCTGAAAGTTCAAAACGTAGATAGAGGAGTCTATCTGGGACAGCCAGCCTCTTTTCTGAGAATGTTCCTTTTTCCTAAGTGACCGGCTAGTTAGTTGAACTATGGCAGAGAACACTCAGGCCACATTCGAGCTATAGGTAAAATGGCACTAGACACCAAGTGTGTGGGGTTCCTCACACTCACCACCTGCTCTCTCCTTGTAGACCTACCAGGGCTCTGACATTGACATCTTTACATTTGGGAATCCCCTCAACACGGCAGCTCTGTTCATCATTCTCCTCCACCTGGTGATAGAAAGCAAGAGTCTGGTGAGTGTCCTCCTCCTGCCTGGGGGTGTGTCTTCTTCCCTTGGCAGTGGACCTGCCGAGCCCTCTGTGGCTGTGAGCTCAGTGCTGATACCAGGAATGGCCCTGTGGACATTGGGGGTCACTGGGTGCCGTGATGCCGAGTCCAGTGAACGTGAAAAGTGCCTGTGTGTGTCTTTGTTTCTGTCACCGGTGGGTACTTCACAGAGGTGTGAGTCAGGGGACAGGAAAATACCAGCTGTGCTCAGTAGGCTTTTAGACCAAGCTGATGGCTTTGCACTAAAATCAAAGACATCCTGTGCCATACCCTCTCTGTTAGCTGTAGTAAATGAGGACTTTATGCCGTGTGATAACCCAGATTTTTTTTTCCTTTGGACCAAAATCCTTTATATTTTTATTATGCTTGGGATGAACTTGAAAACCCCAATAAAGCTCATCAGACCTCAACCAGTGAGGCTCTTAACCTGTGCCTAGCCTCATTTCCTTACCCAAGGGCTGACTCGAGTTTTCCGTCTTTCAGCTTCCTGCATTGCCACACCAGAACCTCCATACTTACTGTTATCGATTAGGTGGAGACATTTTCAGGTTTCTCTTGTATTCGTGAATTTTTACCAACTTCAAAATATTACTTGAAATGATTGTGTACCTTAGCAAGCATTGTTCCCTCTAGAACCTTTCCTGAATCATCTATTACCTCATTTTATTCTCTTGCTTTTCTTCATAAGGTTAAAGAGAATTTATAGTTATTGATTAATTATGGGATTAGCTGGCTCAAGTTTACCTTCTGCTTCAAACTACGATCTGTGTAAGGTCAGGGTTCATGCCTGTTTTGTTCACCATGTAAACCACAGGCCGAGATAAGACTGACTCAGAATAAGTGTTCAAAAAAACCCACACGAGTGAGTAGGTAAACACCTGACCACTTAGGGAGTTTATTTATCATCAGGGCAAATTAATGGATTTCAAACAGGAACTCACTGAGTGAAACCATGGCTAAAAAATATACAATGCTATATTATCAATTATTTTAATAAGTTATAAAGTAGGACCAAGTATCTATTTTTAGCATCATTTGCTTTGCTTATGCTAACTAAATCTTCTAAGCCCCAAATGTGATAAAATGTTAATATATGCAAATACCAGATTAGCTAAAAGAAATCCAAAAGCCATAATGTTTGGTTTCCTTTGAACATCTATTTAACTTTTAAACAATTGTTAGCGATACTTTTGGTTCTGCCAAAAGCTGTGCCACAGGCTCTGACCTTTGTATGTTCCAGAGGAACTGACACATCATGTGTACCAGTTGGGGTTCACTGATTGAAAGAAACAACAGTCCATTCTGGATAACCTAGGCAAGTAGAAATGTTCTGGAAATCATAGTGAGGAACCATGGGCCAAAACACAAAACCCCAAGGGGTCAGCGGAGGGCCAGGGAGCAGAAGCTAATGGATGTGCTTGGCGGGACACACACTGGTGTGAGCCGACTGCATGCATACACACTGGTGTGAGCCAGCTGCATGCATTTTCTTCTGCTCTTGCGTCACTGTGCTGCAGTCTCAGTTGCTGGTGGTAGAATCCTGTCTCCCTGGCTTTAGCATGAGAGGAGCGTGTTGCCAACACTGTGCTCCATGATGAGTATTCTCTCCAGGAGGGAGAATGAGAGCTAAAAATGCAGTAGTGTCTCTGTAGAAGTGCGGCTCGCAGAGTGTCCCCCCTGACAGAGGATGTACTACCAGAGCTCACAGACTTTGAAGTCAGCCACGTGGAGTTCCTGGAACACACACTCTGGCTCACTGTGTCGTGGTCACCCCCTACTTCCAGGGCACGCTTACCCAGTGTTCGCTTCCTTGCCAACTCATTTGTAACTGTGGGCTGTGATGTCACCACATTTGCAAAAGCACGTAACAAGAGAGAAAAAAACTAGACTCCTGCTCAAATAGAAGGAAGGGCATTTGGGCAAGAAAAACAAAAGGAGAGGAGGAGGGAGGATGGACGGACCCATTGTTCTGGGGCATGACATTTTTAATCAAAGAGTTAGCCAACATTTTCTGAGCGGCTTCTACATTTTATAAAATATGAGCAATCTTTGTGACTTCTGGAAGCTATCTACTGTGGGGAAATACTTTGCATAATTACAAACAAAGTAAGAGTGAATTGGACCGTATTTGAAAATTGCAGTCCTAGAAAAGAGATTTATGAAGGCAGTGTTTCCCATAGAAGCAAAGCCCAAGCCCATGTCACCAGTAGCACACTGGTTGGATGTGACGCATTCTATACCCAGTGACATGGAAGAAGGCACAGCAGCTCTTACAAGCGTCTACCCTGAGAGGTCTGAACATCCCTTCCCAATCGCTGAACTTTGTTTCACTGAAATAGAGTAGAGAGGTACCACCTGGATGCTGACTAAGCGAGAATAAGAGTGTGGGTGAACAATTGTAGTACTTACTTGCTGTGTATGTGAATGGCTGAAGTTTAAAGATTACTGCATTAAAGTAATACCTTAATCAGATCAATGACTGTATAAAAAACAAATGACTGTTCATATAAAAAAGAAAAAGGAAATCTAAACACTTCTGGCACATGGACAGTGCAAATTAAACCAATCAACACAATCGCCACTGACTTTTGATTTCATTTTGTAGAATTCAGTTGGTGGCATGAGCCACTCATGAATGAGGCTCTTCCCTTATGCCCTTGGTAGCATGTGTCTTGCATGGAAAGGTCTGTAAAATGAGCCACTCAGGCTCATTGGGCTGTTTCTTTAACAGAGCAGGTTTTGCCAGACTGTAGTATGCCACCAGTAAGCCTTCCTTTCCTGGCCCTTCTTATCTTGCAGACTTGGATCCACGTGCTGGTCATGGTTGGGAGCATCTTGTCCTACTTTTTCTTTGCCTTGGCTTTTGGAGCCTTGTGTGTAACTTGCAACCCACCATCCAACCCCTACTGGATTATGCAGAAGCACATGCTGGACCCAGTGTTCTACTTAGTTTGTGTTCTTACAACCTGTGTAGCACTTCTGCCTAGGTATGTAATATTTTTCCTCGAGAGAGAGTGAGTAAACGGAATCGTAGGCTTCGAGTAATTACTAAGAATGACTGGCAGACCACCCTGCTCTGTGGTGCTAGCTAAAATATTGGTTTCAGTTGTACTGTAGAACACGACTAGATTAATCAAGCGAAGACTATATTTCTCTGTCATGCAAAAGTCCAATCTGATTGCCAGTTCATAGGAAGAAAGAAACTTTGCCTCATGGAATTATCCAAGGAACTACCGTCCTCTATCATTCACCCTGCCATCCCCTGGGCCCTTGCTTTGGTGGAATACCCAAGCTAGGTAACTTACAAACAGAAATGCACTCAGGGCTCTGGCGGTTGGGAAGTCCCACGTCAAGGTGCTTTCAGGGTTGGTGACTTTCATTCGAGGATGAAAACTTAATGCTTCATCCACATATGGCAAAGGTGGTACAGCAAACCCCTCATAGCCTTGTCACTTCAAGTTTTGCCTATTACAGTGTTTGAATGCACATCAACTAACTCATGCCCAAAGGCGCTTCCTGTGGGTGAGGATGATGTTAACAGGAGCCATATTCATTTACACAGAAGAATCTTCTATGCTTTGAATGCTTTCCCCCACAACAAAACTCAGGTTGAAATTTAGTGTCTTTGTAACAGTAGAAGAGGGGGGACTTTCTACTTATTTGGAAAGCAGAGAGAGTACTTACTGTTTTCTGAGTGCTTTACAAATATTAATTTACTAAATATTTTTAATTACTGTGTTTTAAAACCATGGCCTTGTATAGTAGCCCAAACTGACTTGGAATCCATTGTCAAGCTTAAGCTGGCTTTGAACTCATGGCTATCCCTCTAATTTAACCTTCCAAGTGTTGGAATTATAGAGGCTCATCGCAGTCCAGGTTTAATTTTTTTAAGATTTATTTATTTTTTATGTATACAGCGTTCTGTATGCATGTATGCCGGCAGGTCAGAAGAGGGCACCAGATCTCATTATGCATGGTCGTGAGCCACCATGTGGTTGCTGGGTATAGAACTCAGAACCTCTGGAAGAGCTGCCAGTGCTTTAAACCTCTGAGCCATCTCTCCAGTCCCAGGTTCATCTTATACCTTACTTGCCTTCCTCTCTCAGAAGCCAAGTGCCTACCAAGTGCCTCTTTTACTTTTTGTTAAATTGGTTAATATTTCAATGGGTCCCATGATGAAATGGAAGTGAAGGTGATTCTGTGGTGCTCTTGGTAACCTAGGTTTCTATACCGAGTTCTTCAGGGATCCGTGTTCCCATCTCCAGTTCTGAGAGCCGCGTACTTGGACAGACTAGCTCCAGAGGAGAGGGCAGAAGCTCTCAAGAAATGGAGAGGGACTGCAAAGATCACCCAAGTGGCATCTAAGTATGCCAGCCAATCAGCTGCTGAGTCAGGAAGACCCAGGCCTGACCCTTCGGCTGCCCTTCCCATGAAGTCAGCAGCAGCCTGTGCTGTTGAGCAAGAAGACTTCCCTACATGTGAGACTGTGCTAGACGTTGGCTACTCTGAACCAGGCGTCTCAAAGGTGACTGAGCTCAGCATGTTAAGAACACAAGATACCCAGCCTAGAGTTGCAGGTAATCTTTCACACTTGTAAGGATTCAGAGGACATGTCTCTCAACAGTGAGGATCGGATCACTGGTGTTTTTGTGCAAGGGGATATCGGCATTTTACTAGGCATGGAAAAGCCAGTACCGTGTCTGCAGTCATATACCTGTGTGCACATTTGTAAGCAAGGGATAGTGTCTGACCTCAGCAGAATGCAAGAAGGGGAAATATTTAATTCAGGATCACATGTTGCTTTAATGAAAGTTTTTAGGCTTTGTAAAGGAATTTTAATTGTCTTATAAGTGCAAGCCTTATCTAGTGAATTCATTTGAAATATACTTATTTTATAGGTCACTCTCATGCATTTGGAGAATGCTTTAAGTGAGAGCCATCATGAATTTTAATTTAAGATACAAAAAGTACTTTTAAGACTAGTTCATTATATAGCTGGATGGTGACACACATCTTTGATCCCAGCTCTTGGAAGGCAGAGGCAGGCCAATCTCCGAGTTCAAGGCCAGCCTAAACTACAGAGCTATTACTTCCAGAACAGCCAAGGCTGTTACTCAGAGAAACCCTGTCTCAAAAAACCAAAACTAACCAACCAAACAAAAAAACCTGCTTTATTAGGAAAACCCATTAATTTAAAGACAATTTCCTAAGACCTTTTGTTTTCTTTGAGAAGCAGCCTTTGGTCCCCAGCTAAAGGTGTTTAGCAGCCCCCTCTGCTCAGCTCAGTCCGGTGCTGAAGCAGAGCCTTCGTAGGGAAGGGAAAGAAGAGGTCAAGTGTTTCCAACAGCACCAAGCTCCCTTCTGCTCTTTCCACTGCTAAGAGAAGACATGTGAGCGCCCCATGTGCAGGTGTTGTCAATCAGGAAACACAATCAGCAGAGCCTACAGACTGTGAGCAACTTCCCAAGTTCCAAAACTGATGATCCCCACACCAGCATGAGACAATCATCTTCAAAACAGTCTCCCAGAGACCCTCTGAGAGTTCATCATTCTAACAGTGCTCAGCAACTTGACTGCATTGTAGCCTCTACAGAATGAGATGCGAGTTGACACTGATACAGGTTATGCTCAGTGGCAGTTCCAAGGCTCTTAGACAATTAACATATTTAAGAGTAGAAATGTCTCATCTGGGCGTTGGTGGCGCACGCCTCTAATCCCACACTCAGGAGGTGGATCTCTGTGAGTTTGAGGCAAGCCTGGTCTACAGAGCGAGTTCCAGGACAGCCTCCAAAACAATACCGAGAAAGCCTGTCTCGAAAAACCAAAAAAAAAAAAAAAAGAGTAGAAATGTCTGTAGCAAGTTTTCTGCTGTGACAAATCATGGATGCTGGCTTCATTTAGTACTTAGTTTACACCAGGTGAGTGTAAATATGCCACTGTGAGGTCACATGCTCTTGTTGAAGTCTTTCAAAACTTCTGTATTCATCTGAAAGCTGTTCGACTACCAGTCATGTGGAATTCCCTTCATGAATCTCTATGCTAAAAGTCAGTGTCTACAGCAAAGTTATTCTCAGGGCCTACTCATTGCCTGCTTGTACTGTCCTTGTCAATTTCTGTACCTTCTTGTTAGTGTTAAATGGTCTTTTTTATATAGACTGATTTTGGAACTATGACACTGTCACGTGACTAAAGGAAGTTGCCTTCTACTTCCCTAACATTTTTTAAAAATAAATTATTTAATAAATAATGTTGATTGAAAGCTGTCCTGTAACTCCTTCCTCAATCCAGCTGTAATTTATGTGCCAGAGCTGAGAAGAAAAACCCTAAGGCATGTGTTTGCCAGAATACTTTATGGATCTCTTTGTCTATGGGGTGGGGGAATCACTTGATATCAGGTCACTCATCATCCCCATAGCAACTAGAGTTCATTTCATTGAGATCACCATTTCCCAAGTACATGTTAAAGTGATGCTCATATGCATATAAAAGACTTTAAAGATTAAAGGAATATACCAAAAGAGAGTAAGAACAAGGTCATTTTCAAGATGTGCCTTATCTGGCCAAAAGAAAAAAAGAATACAGGAAAGCATCGAATGCTTATGTCATGGGACTATAATCTTACATCTGTAACTAGAAAATCCTCCCATCTTTGTTCGTAAATTAGGTGCAAACTAAGTGCATTGGAAAATCTGAAACTACTGGATGCAATCATTTGTGTATCTTCCTACAAAAGTATTGCTGCATGTAATTACTTGGTGATTAACTTTTTTTTTAATTTAGAAACTTCTGAAAAACATCTGACCCCTAGGCTGAGGAGATCCAGATCTTTGTAAAGCTTTTAAAAGGTTGAATTTACAAGTGAATAACTATTTTATACAAAATAGCAAAGCTAGTGTGGTGTGTTGTATTTGCATATGTAGAACAGTTTACCAAATTTTGAGGAATCCAAGAGAACTAGTAATAAATGGTCTGGGTTATAGTTTTTATTATAAAAGGTTTCTAAAGAGTAGGAACACTTGCAAAAATACACTGTGAACATTGAAGACTCGTGTTCTCTTAGCAGAGTTGGTATTCTTCCGGTACTCCAGGAACGATTAATACTATTAGCAACTCATAAGACTAGAGATGAGGCTGTTACTAGTCTAAAAGAGCAGGTTCCTGTGAGAGTGAGTTATACAATGTGCAAATTTGGGCTGACAGGAAACTGGGCGCCACTGTGCTATCAGAGAGATAACCACTTTCCTGAAACGTGGTGTCTATATTCCATCCTTATTCCTCAAGGAAAAAATTATCATTTCATTTGTATGCAGAATTATTTAAAATAACTCCAACATGTACATTTTACTGAATATAAGTTTATCAAGGCTAAAAAAAGTTTTCATTAACTATGTGCCAACAATTATAACAAAACTGTCCAATGATCTTAAACCTTCATACAGTTGTGAACACAGTACAAGTGCTACACACTCCTTGTAACAAGTTTCAGAACAAGAGATGAATAAACACAGAAAATAAGGGTTGAAACAACTTTTTGGATATGAACTCTTATTGACGCATAGAAAAAGAGTACAAAATACACATATAAAATAGCAGGTAGTCCCTGTTTGGAATGCTGAGGCAGTCTGGTTGCTGGTGAAGTTTAGTAGTGCATCCTACTTGTTCAAAAAGGCATTTGGATGTTACATTAGTTGATGTCAGACTAATTCAATTAGGTGTATATGAAGGTTTGTGTTTTTGAAGCTTTTTAGTGGAAAAAATACTTTTAACCACTAATTGCTTCAAAAACTGATTTGCGTAAAGTGGCCCAGTGCTTAAAAACAACTTTAAATTTTTGTTTTAATTATCAATGAGGCAAAATGGCAACACCAGATGTTAGACATCATTAAGGGGAAATTGCAAAATGTTTTGCTCCATGCAACATTTTTCTATGCTTTGAAATATATTTCTGTGACATTTCTGATTTGGGTGAACACAGGAAGACCAATTTTCAGATTTAATTGGGTGTGGGGTACCATTTAATATTCTTTTCTCTCTGTTTCTCTCTCTCTCTCTCTCTCTCTCTCTCGCTCGCTCGCTCGCTCGCTCGCTCACTCTGTCTCCAAAGTGAAGAGGATTCTCATTCATTTCACATAGGCAAACAAATATTTCTACAAGAAATGACCTAATCATTGAAATCTCACCCATCTAACCGACATACATTGAAAAACCCCAGTAATGGGGAACGTTCTATGGAAATTTTCTATGAAATTGCAATCTTAGTTTGAATGCAGGAAGGGTAGAATTATACTTCTGAGTGTCAGTTTCGATGGCTAGAGAATTTCACATTCTGTGTGTCTTGCAGTTTCAACTATCTAGAGCAATACTGTGGGTCTTTTCACTTTTATAATCTCCAAATTATTTAGAAGAGTCTAGAAAATAAAGCAAGCATGTGCATGATCATGGCTTTTTAAAAGCCAGGCTCCAAAGTTAGTTCTGAAATCTGCCCACTAAGCCAATGTGCTTGAACGAGACCCAGCAGTGTGTCTCCTTGTGTTTGTTGTGATACTATGAAAAGCAACTTCCTGTAACTTGTTACTGTAGAGCTCCAAATGTTGTTCCTACGGAGCTGATAATTCCACACTACATTCAAAGTTATCCTAGGGAAAGAACAAAACCAACTTTGCTCTGTGTTTTTAAAAGAACACATGAAATGAATGAATGATAAAGTTGAAAAAAATAAAAGGCGGAGTAAAACAGATGTGATGCAAACCAGAGGTCATGCAATGCATGTTGAGCGCCCTGTCCATGAAAAGCCCATTTGTGCAGCTCTAAGCAGGACACTCCTCACAGTCAAGAGGGCTGTTGGTGTGGGTTTCTGGCTGAGTCTCTGATCATTCTTGAAATTCCTTTTGGAGAAAGGTCTGGATATATATTTGTCTTTCAATCCATTCAACAAAGTAGGACACGTTGCTATACACCCCAGGCCCCAGAACTTTGGAAAAGCAGACGGAGCCCCATGAAGTTAAACCAAATAATGTCCACTGTCCTCCGGGTCGCTCACAAACCAGAGGCCCACCACTGTCTCCCTGCAAGAAATAGCAATAGATATTAGTCATGGGATTTCAGAGGTCTAGCAGCAGGGTTATCATCTTAAGGGTACAATAAAGTCCAAACCAGCTTAACTCAATTGGAAAATGTCAACAAAGTTTTCCACCGTAAACCTGGAATGGTATCTGCTTTCCACTGAATAAACAAGTCTTTCCAATAAACATGATGGATTCTGAACTTAAAAGGGATAAATGTAATTTGTAAAGAGGTTTTGTTCTTGTCATGAGACCTGAAGACTCTTAGTTACTTCCTGAATGTAACAAAATGTTGTAAAAAAAAAAAGACTTGATGTATCTAAACTAATTATCTCAAAACATTTTATTCTTTAAATTGGATTGATCTTATAAAAGTAAAAATTACCCAAAATGGAAAATAAACACACACACACCCCCAATAATCAGTTGTACAAAATGTTCTAAAGTGAACCATCACAAATGGCCTGTAATTATGTAGGGCTAATGGCAAGCATAGTTTATCTGTTTAATTCTAAAATCTGGGGAGCAGCCTGATCACTCCAAAACAGCAGAACAGCATCGCAGAAAACCCACCACCTGCTCCTCCCTTGCCAGCTTCTCTGTGCACTTGCCCATCTGAACGCCAGAGACCGTTCAGCACAGTAGCTGCTGAGTGTTACATTGAAGTAGAAACACTTCCCTACACTGCTAAAAGGCACGCTTTGCAGATTGCAATGGCCATACATCCTGTCTGAGGTTGGAAGCAGTGACATTTGACAGACTGATAATCAAATGAGGGCCACCAGATCTCAAGCAATACCAGGGTCCTCACATTAGAAGCAAGTTCTATCACACACTGTGGGAACTGGGGTGCCAATGTATATCCTAATGCCTTCGTGGTTATACCTGGTGATGTCCTCTGGTGTCCACCTAATGGTTAAGGCAGTGGATTTAAAGCTATGGTTTCCACTTGCCCCTCATAATTAGTCTTGTCCTAGCCACCAAAATGATCAAAGGAGATGCACCAACAACACAACTGTCCTCCTGGCAGTGAACGATTTTCACAAATGTTCCTGAGGGACCATGCATGGCTTATAATGAGCTATGCAAGCACATCAGAGTCATGGTGGATTCTGATTGCTGGCATAGTCCGAAGACAACTTACCATGCATGAGTCCACAGTGCCAGACTCGTAGCCAGCACATATCATCCGACTGGTGATAGTCTTCATGTCAAAATAGGACTGGCACTGCTCCAGAGGAATAATGCGGACTTCTCCCTCCTGCAGCTTAAAGGGCACTGCAATTGAAAAGAAGAAATGAAAAATTCAGGAGGACATGAAAATTACTCAAAATAAAAAATGAACAACATTACAGGAATATTTTCATATACCTAGAGAACCATTTCTTTCCCCTTAAATATCATCTTAAAACCTGATGGGTGGTGGTGGCACACATCTTTAATCCCAGCACTCTGGGGGCAGAGGCAGGCAGATCTCTGTGAGTTCAAGGCCAGCCTGGTCTACAGAGTGAGTTATAGGACAACCAGGGCTATACAGAGAAACCTTGTCTCAAAACAAAATCATCTCAAGGAGAAGACTAGTTTGAAACCCAATTTTTTAATTAAAAGCTTTCAATAGCAGTCCTCTGGTGAAACTGCTTATTTGTTTAGTGTGGCAGAAGCGTTGGAATGATTGTTTCCCCCTTGTCATGTGCTATGGAAAAACAACTTTAACAATGAAAAGGGGGGAAGCAAGGCAGAGCGCTTAGCTCAGCATATCTGTCATGTTCTCTAGGATCAGAGAAAACCTGCTAACCCTCAGAGGGAGGGGCCCACCTCACATGTGCCCTGTGGCCATTGTTCTAATGCTGAACCTTCACTCCTAGAGGCTATGCTAGACAGATTTGAAAAGGATGTTATCATTTGTTGTTTACAATAGACAGAATGTATGATTGCTGTCTTAAAGTTTTTCAAGAATAATGGTAGCTGTCTTCAAGCAAAACCTCATAAATCCTATTTGAACATCCTGAAAATCATACCGACTGTTCTTTGAGGAAGCAATGGGAAAGCAGTGCTAAGAATTAATACTCACCATTTGGGGAAAAATAAATGTGATGTAGAACAAGTTTAACAAGTCATCAGAATGATAATGACAATGAGACAGCAGCCAACAGGGCTCACACTAGGGTAGGTGAGGCTCATGCCATCAACATCTTCTGGACCACAAATGCTTTTCCTCCATGTAACAATCCTGTGCGTTACAGGATTGCCTCATGCCTTCTGTTGAAGGCAAGAGACTAAAACAGCTGAAGTCAATAGTATCTTCATGAATGAATTCCATTGTGTGGTCTTCATGCTATCCCCAAACTGCTATGTAAGCTCTACAGTACCCTACTACTATAAGTTTATATAGATATTTTATGAAGAACACAAATAGAGACACTATGAACTACATTCTGTTCATTTCAATACAATATTAACCATAGTTTTTAAAAAGCAACATGTGTAGGAATGGTGACATTGTAAAGCAACACTACCTTCAAGATTCTTACAGGATGATTTTCTTGAGTCATCAATGTCTATAAACACATCCTTCCCATCATTTTTCTTGTCATACAGAAAAGAAACAGCTCAAAAAATCTGACTAAATTTCAACAAGAAAACAAGTTCCTTTAAATTGGTGTTCCTGTGGTTAATATCAAGATGCCAGGAGGCCAATATATACCACCATTCTGAGAAGCCTGGCCTTCTACATCTGATGCAATTATTTTGGTGATTCAGTTCTTATCCTAAACTTTAAATAGGTCAAGCTATGTGCAAATGTCTTTTAGAGAGGTTGAGAGTAAGAGGTTAAAAGAAAATTCATTTCTGCATGTTCTGTATTCAAATCACTTTCTATAAAACCAAGTTTAAGCAATTTAAGTAGTAAGATATGTATCACATTTCTTTATAGACAGATGTACTATATATGTAGATAAGAACAAATCAACTACAGAATTGGAAATGTGATCATGTAGCTTGACTGCAAAAATTCCACAAAGCCTCTGGGAAGTTCTGCCAAGAGGTAGCCCAAACCATTGCTCTCTCTAGCAGGGGTGTCTGTCAGTTTTCACCTTGCATAGAAGGTCCAAAACATTGGTAGTAGCTCCCTGAAGAAAGAGTCAGAGCTGTGGGGAAGGGGACTTAGGTTTGCATTTCAGGTGGGCAGATGTATGTGTCATGATGGATTCTTCATGTGTACAACTGGCTTAGAAGGAAGAATGAACATAACACAGTCAGAGCATTTACCCTGTGTGACTGTGATGTACAAGTAAAATGGGAAATGGTAGCCAAAGCCTAGAAGGAAGCCTAGTGCTTCTCCATTATGAGATGAAAAGGCACACATTGCTGATGACCCTGGCTTACTTTTGTTGCCCATGTGGCCCCAGCCTGTGATGTAGCAGTACGTATCTGGTTCCAGAAACTCCTCTGGGCTGGGTAAGCAAACAGGTCTAACGTAGCTTGTCTCATGGATGTCATCGCTCAGCTCCACTACACTGATGTCATAGTCCACCACCGCTCGATTGTAACGGGGATGTAGCAGGATGGTCTTCACAAAGCGGGTCTGCATGAAGTCTGACGGATGGTCCAGGTTGTTTATGCCAAATACCACCTTCCATATATCAGCATCCTCTCTCCTAAAACAATTCAAGAGTACCTTCAATTCTATCTGCTTTGATTGAACATGCTTTTAAAAGTAATTTTTGTATGTAAACAATGGCTAGTCCCAAGACTATCCTCACATAAGAAGTGGTCCCACAACAGTTCAAGGAATAAATAGCCGAGTGTTATTATATGAGGATGCAAAGCTCAGACTTCGTTATTTCTTTAATTTATTTTTAAAATAGAGAATGCTTCACTAATTTGCATGTCATGTTAATCTCCCATGTATCATTGCAGTTTTGGTAACAAGCACTCAGTCTTCTTGAATAGGGTGTTCTTATAAACAGAACTTGTTTGGTCTTAAGGCCAGGTACTTGTTTCATAGCATAAGAATGGTAATTTAAAGTTAGGAGAAAGAGAGGAACAGAGGCGGGAGGGGGTTGAGAAAGTAGAAGGAGGGAGAAAGCCAAGAGTAAGAGACCCTTCCAACGAAGAACAAACACCTCAGGGAAGTGTCAAGTTTTCAGGGCAGCTATTTGCAAATTTCAAAGTCAGGGTTTAAAATGACCAATTACAAACCCCAATGGTCAATCTCAGATTCCATTTTTAGAAGAGCATTTGTCATCAGCACTTCAGACAATTTTACGTTAAAATTAACTTTCTCCCCCAAGTTTACAGTTCTTATTGCTCTTTAGAATTTCCCCCAACCTCATATGTTGCTCACTGCCCTGCCTACCTTTTCTTCTGGGTCCTTCTCCCACATCCTTGGTATCAATACTGACATGTTCTGGGACACTTCTTCCCCATTCTCTATGCATGCCACACTCCCTTGATGATTTCCTGTAACCCCCTGGTTTTAAATAAACCAGTGACTCCTAAGTGTATATCATGAGCTAAATTCTCTTACCTGAGTCACAAGCTTGATCCAATTGTCTATTAAACACATTCACTTGGATGTTTGATAATGACCAAGATGGTCAAGGGTCATCCACATGATTGGTGATGTTTAAGCATTCAGAATTTATTTTCAGGAATCAAATGCTTCCTATCACCAGTGACTGAATCATTTCTTTTGTAAACCCAACACTTCAGCTATCACGAAGTCCTCCTCACTCCTACTCTCAATATATACGCTGCACCTTGCTATCTTACCTTCTCTATTGTTCTCTGCTCATGAACACGCTTTAATTTCCTTCTCATGGATATCAATGACATTTTATGTTAATAGATCTGTCTACTCTCTATCTTGCCCTCTTCTACCCCACAGAGTTTTATATCAGTGAAAACAAGAACTGTATTAGTACTTTCACATTGCAGTGACCATGCCACAAACACGGCTTAAATGTAGAAAGATTTATTTTGGTTCATAGTTTCAGAGGATTTCAGTCCACTGTGGTAGGGAAGGTGTGTATGGTAAGGTTCCTCACATTATGACAGCTCAGAAAGTGAGAGCAAGGGTACAACTAGAGGACAGGTTATAACTTTCAAAGACCCATCTACTTCTGAACCCTAACTCCTAATGAGTTCACAGCCTTCCAATATAGTACCACCAGCTGGAGTATAAATTTTCAAACAATGAGCCTAGTGGATGTCTTAGTAAGCCTACTTGCTGTGATACAGAACATGACAAAAATCAATTTGGGAAGGAGAGAGTTGGTTTAGCTTAAGTTCTGGGTCACAGTCCATTGAAGGAAGGAAGCCAGCACAGGAACTCAGGAATCTGAAGGCAGGAATTGAAGCAGAAACCACAAATGAACACTACTTACTGGTTTGCTCTCCATGAATTGCTCAGCTCATTTTCTTGTACAACTCAGGGCCACCTGCCCAGGGATGGCTCTACTACAGTGGGCTGGGCCTTCCTACATCTATCATTATTTGAGAAAATGCTCTCCATACAATCTGATGGAGGAATCTTCTCAACTGAAGTAGGCCCTCTTCCAAGATAACTCTAGTTTGTGTCAAGTTGACAAAAAATAAATAAAAAAAATAATCAAACGAGGGAGCACATTGTAGATTCCTACTATAACAGGGACCTTATTGATCCTATTGCTACATCCATTTGTAGGACAAGGCAAATAATCGGTTCTAAAAGACAATTGTTAACAAGCACTTAGTCTAAATTATTTTAAAGCATTATTAATAGACTCAAACCATGTAAACAAAGTCTCTTTTGATCACTTCATGCTCTCCTATTTTTACAGACCCTAGTTGTCTAGAGTAGACTACAGTCCAAGTTGTGGATATTTGTTGGATAATAGCATTAAGAGGTTATCCTTGGTGTGGACACTCCCTTATACTATGGTACAAAGAACTAGCCATTGTACCACTCTTCCTCACTTGCAAACTTCTGGTCAATCATTTATAGTAGACTGATTTCATCATGTAGACCAGCCATCTGTTATGCCAGAGTAAACATGCAATCATTTGGAGAGACACTGAAGTACCAATTCTTTAGATGTCTCCACCATATCAGCATGGGGCAGGGTGTCCTGGCTTCAACATTCAAGTTTATTTCAGTGCCATTAGATCTTTGACTCAGACTTCACACATTCTGTACTTTCACGATTTGTTTTTAAGAAAGAATGTCAAACCTACAAAAACAGGACGTCATGGATTCAATAAATACAGATAAATTGTAATTTTTCTAGGTCAAGCGTTATGCTAGAGATTACAACAAGCAAGAAAGGCATGGCCTCTGCCTATACAAGTTATAGGATTGAGCAAAAATGACTAATTCATGAAATGATTATAATAAGTTGGAGGAAGTGCCATGTCCTGGGATGACAAGATAATATTATAAAATTATGTTTCATTACATAATGCTGTCACTTAAAGTGCACACTTCCCTCCTTTCATCTTTCCTCCCTTTCTCCAAACTTTTGTTACATTTTCTTCCTAGCCTACAGGAGTAAGTCTACATAGCCATTAAGGAAATGCGACATTTACATGGAACTTTATTGTTTAAGTAATCTGAAGTCAACAACATTATTTCAGAATGATTTATTAATTGCCTCATTAGAAGCTTCTTATCTCAGAAACACAACAGCTTAGCTCTAGTTATTACAACAGTTCACCCTCTGCCTAAGTCATAAGTAATATTTAAAGTAATTGACCACTCTTAATTATTTGTAATAAAGTGAAATAACATCAAAATTCAGTTCTTAATTGATTATATTGTGGTTAATTTAAAACTAAAAGTAAAACTCGGGGGTCAATAAAACCAAAAACTGTTATTAAGTTACATTCACTAGTCTTGCTACACAGCCTAGCATTCTTACACCAATAATATCCACCAAGACGAAGAAAGGGAAAAGGTAGACAGAAGTATCCCTTTCTGTTTTGTTATGCATGTGATATGAAATGTAATGTTTTTCCTCTATAGCTGTGGAAGAAGAGAACCAAGAAAGCAGAAAGGGATTTCTGAAGTTAAGAAGTGTCTGAATGGTGGACCGATTTCATTATGTCAACCAGTCATTTTTCATGCCATGGTAAATGTTTACTCAGTATGTTTACCATGGCATGAAATACACTGAGCATGTGCTAGAAAAAAAGTCAGGAACGAAGGCATGGACAGCCTTGTCTCCAGGAGGAAGAAGACAGGCGGAAGAGTACTAGGCTACCTGGATACTCAGTGACAAACAGTTGAAGGAGGAAATCACGATACAAAGAGCCAAGGATATGGTCTTAAAATGCACAACATAAAGAAGACTCCTTCCCATTTGGATGCCAAACCTCAAAACAGCATCAAAGAGAACTGCGCCATCTTTAGTGATATTTGTGCCAAGGTTCCAGGAGCTGAGAGGGTTGCTCAGATGTGAAAGCGCTTGCTTTGTAAACACAGGGGTCTGAATTAGGTCCCCAGAACTCACACCAGGAAAAAGGGTGGTCATGTGCATTTCTAAACTCAGCTGGGAAGGGGAAGACAAGACAGATCTCTGGCGCCTGCTGGTGAGTCAGCCTACTCAGCAAGTTCCAGACCACTGAGAGACCATTTCAAGCAAACATAAAGTGAGAGGTATGTGGGAATACTTAATGGAAAGTCCCATAATTCCCAGGCATAATGACAATAACGAATGGGGTCAGGATGCTGATCCTTTGAACACCTACACCACACATTTTCTATTGAACATTGAAGCAATGAGTAATATCGGTAGATAACAACTGAGGAACTGGGGAAGGAAAGCTTATCAGGTGGATAGAAATTTACTTGTGGGTGATACAATAGCAGATGGCAGGGGCAGAGGCTATCGTGTTGATCTTATCTTCCAGGTGTGAGGGGAATCAGTTACCAGTGATAAGACTATAGAAAGTGGATAGCTAGGTAAGGCAAGGGCCTAGAAATATTAACAGAAAGGCATAAGTGTGTGTGTGTGTGTGTGTGTGCGTGCGTGCGTGCGTGCGTGTGTGTGTGTGTCCTTTAGTAATTACACATGAGAGGATTTTGAGAAGGGAAGGAAAAAATAATAGAGAATAGAAGGAAGGAAGGAAGACATGAAGGGTAATAGGAAAGAAATAAGGAAGGAAAAGATAGGCGTTATAGTGTATCCACTAAGTCCCAAAGCTAACACAACTAAGTAGAAACATTAACATTCACTGTCTGTATTCTACAATCACAAGTGATCACAGTAAATGGGGAAAAGGAAGACATATCTAAATAGTTAATGTTTAACTACACATGGATCCAAGCACTGTAAAATTGGAGTCTAGCACAGAGTGGTATGAAATGACAGCAATTATCGAAAGTCTTAGCCATAAAATGAGTAGGAGTTTGTTCCAAAAGAAAAATGTAGGAAATGGAAATGTCTCCTCCGTGAAGAGTGCTGTCTGTTACAGCTCATTTCATGTAATAGATAACTAAAGTCAAGCAGAGCTTTCTGCCTACAACTCTCCCTGCTTTCACCTCTCCATTCAAAAATGATTTGCAGACGATATGCATAAAATTCATCTTCTATGTGATTGAATATGTGTGTGCTCAATACACTGAAATATTGAACAGTTTAGTATTTGGGAAGAGTTGACGAGAGACTACTGACCC